GACATAAGTACGTCGGACCCATCGTGCATAAATAACTTTTTAGCGACAGCGACACAACAAAAAAGAAAATCAACGTGTACACAAGGTACACTCGTGTTCTGGGGCGGGTTTCACCGCCCCCAGCGACATATGCTCGGCTCTATCAAAGTGCTAAGATCGTGGGTTCTGGCGAGCCCACGAGTTCTGCGTTCGGTGAAGCTTTAATAGTCTACGGACTGAAAGCAAAAAAATAAAGTAAAGTAACAGCGAATATATAATAGAGTATCTTGTATCTTGTATTAACTGATGTTTTTGCTTTCAGTCCCGAGACTATTAAAGCTTCATCTGACGCAGAACCGGTGGGCTAGCCAGAACCCACGGGTTTGGGCCCTCCGCTGTGGGTAGGGCCACGCATGTGCTCATGCGTGCGTTTAACTATGGTGTGTCATCTAAGGGCCATCGAGGTCGTGGTTCGGACCGAAACCCCGATGGCCGTTATAATAGAGTGTATCAGGGCATATCCACCACGCGACCGCACTGTAATGGCGGACTTGACATATCTTCAAAATTTGTTTCTGTTATTATTACGAAAGTATGCAAGTCTCCATACGATGTTTTCCTTTACCGCTGGTGTTAATTCAGTACATAAAATTAACAATTTTATTTTTTACTTTTACCCGAAAAATTAGCTATCACGGATTTTAAAAGCAAAAATTTTTAAAATAAAATTACTTAATCATTTTATGACGCGATATAGAACGATTCGCCCTTTCGGAATACGAATCGCAGTACAATATTATGAAAGTAAAGCACAATTTATTAAGCCCCTGGAATAAACAAATAAATCTTTCCAGCATATGTCTAGTAATTACAACAAATTACGTGAGAAGATCAAATCTGTACCGTACGCGACTGGCCGAAGGTGCATTCTCGCACAGCCCCTTTTTAAATTCGCGGCAGTCGTAGCCGAGGATAAAAAGTGCAACATTTGGTATTGCCCAAGAAGCGGCGTGTTAACGTCAATTTAACAGTCTGCCGGTTTCGCGTCCAGGCGCCGACAGAGGGGGGGGGGGGGGGGGGTCCAGCATTTGCAATAAAACCTCATTACGACGGACGAGGTGGTATGAACATAAATCAATTCATTTTTTGAGTTACTTTTAAGCGTCGTCTACGCGAAAAGGAAAAGAAGCAATATAATCTTATTGTATTTATATGTAACTTTCATTGTTTTCCTTTACACTTAAATAGCGAATTGAAAGCGGTTGATAGTAAGTGGTTACGGTCGCCTTTGAATTTATTCCCGGAACGGATCAATAAAACGGCGAAATATAAATAGTCTATTACAAAAGATGATTCCGTGGCGCAGTTCCCAAGGTACTGACTACGGCGACGGAGATCTTTGGTTCGATTCTCACACGAGACAACTATTCGTGTGACCCGCAGATAATTGTTTTTGATCTGAGCGTTCGTCCACGTGAAATTTATACAGGGAGGCTCTTCTAAGTGTATTCATTTTTTTTATTAGATTCTATACGTAAATACTGTTACATAAAAAATTATAAATATTTAAAATCACTCGTAATTAATTTCAAATTTGCAATAACGATTATCAAATAAATGACCATTTTTATCGATACGGTCAATCGGATGGATAATCGAATTGATCTGTCAATAAAAAACATCTAATTAACGCATGTACGAATAAATTAGCTTATAGTTGGCGTTGTTCACTAGTAAACATTGGCGCTCTACAAACCTATATAGCGTGATGGCATTCACCGAGTACAGTAAGGTAGTGTAGAATTGTGTTATTAAAGTTTTACAAAAAAACCTGAAATCAGAAATGCTACCTTAACTTGTTAAACTAAAAGCACTTACAACAACAAAAATATTTGCACGACTGAAGTTAAGGTCGGATAAAGTAAAGAACAAACAACGAGAAACTTACTTTTTACTTTCTTACTCAGCATATTTTAATAAAGAACAAACAGCCATTTTAAAGGTGTTTAAATAACAAATTGGAACCAGTTGAACCGCCAGTTCGCTTGTCATAGAATATTTCACGGCATCCAGGATCAGGGTGGCGCCTCAAGGTCAAACCGAACCTTGCCTGTGATGAGTTCATTGATCTGACCCGACTCTCAAAGTGATGGAGTAATGGCGACTTGCGTGATAGTACAGTATCACTTTTACCCATAGGTCACGGGAAAGTGCTTAACAATACATTACACTGATGGCTCAGGTCGCACGTAAATCGCTCATTTCCTGCGTCGATTTATCGCCGCCATCCCAGTCGGATGATTGTCGGTTATCCGTTAAACGCTCATTAAACTTCACGCTGGCTTATTGTCGAGGTTATTTCATCTGATATCAATTGTGCCCTCACTAAAAGGAACTAATTCGAATTGGCCGTGTGTTTGTGGCACCAAACTGAAACGACATCGACACCAGTGAACTCTGAAGTGTGTCGTGATTAGGACGAGTCACTTGTCTCTCTTGAAAAGTTACTCTATAGTTTTGTATGTATACGCCTTACTATGTATTAGTTATTGAAACTTCACGAAAGCGTGTGAAACAAAACAAAACGGGCCAATTGGATTTCCTCAACAATCTGTTAGCTTTGGCGTTCGTGTTCGTGAATCGTTTGTTGACCTTTCGTATGGATTAATATCTGGCTTCGTCCAGTCGGAAAGCGTTACGGCATTACGCGTACGATGATGAATATCGCCGTATCGGTGATAGTTTGGCGTGCATTTTACACTTGCTTGCACTTAACGTTCATATATCGTAACTTTTTTCTGATTGCACTGCCAATATTGTGTTAAACAAAGGACATATCGACAGCAGTGCAATGTAGTTGCATTTAAATTGAATTACTTTCAGTATTATGTGCAATAAAGTCGGTTCGTAATTATAATGAAGCGAACGTTAGGTAATAACATGATTAACTTGCGAACACAATTAAAAAGACCGACTGCATTTATATCAATACATGGATTACTATTGTCCATTGCGACATCAAACTTGAGCTGGCCCTGAAAATGTCCTAAACCTAGGACTAGCCAATGTGCTGGCCGCAAGCGTTCAACGCAAAAGTCTTAGTATACTCTAAAATAGAATAGCTCGGAAAAAATAGAATATTGTAACAAGAATTCAATCGTTTTATGGTTTTGAGTAATAGAATCTGAAGTCATTATAATTCGTTGAACTCCAGGATACGTTTTTGCAATTTTGAAGAAAACTGTTGACCGTGCTTGGCTTCTCGATTTTCCTTCGCGCTTTATTTATTGTGCCAAAACATATATTCTTGCCCTATCACATACTTTTATTAAATATCAAACGAATATTTGTACTGTACATTATAATGATATAAATCTACTTTGATGGCATTTCATGATAAACAATCTTAAAAAAAGACGAAATGTTAATCGACACGAGGGAAAAGGTAGTCATTGACGCGCACGTCAACTGCGAAGTATTAGTAACTTAAAGGTTAGAGGAACATTGTGCATAATTTCAATTATGGACTCTCTATTGAGTAATAACCTAATGTCTATGGAAATAAGGAAAACTCCTGTCCCAACGCGAGGGTACCTGACCCCTGGACCACAACGCTTTCTGGGACCTTGCTCTAGCGCTTTAGTAAGAGCACAATCATTACAGGTATTGTCCCATTGTTTATCGAAACATCAGCGACAGCCGATTCGCTCTAATTATCGCAGCGGACCAAACTGTTTCAATTATGAATGAGCACACCGTTTGTTTTATAAAAATTCAAATTATTCATGTCATCAGTAAGTAGGCCAAGAGTTCGTGACCTCTAATGCCTAAAAGCTATTGCACATGGAGTCAAATAAATATGAAGTAATTTTTCGTTCAACAATCGTTATTATGTATTGTAAATCGGATTATAGATTTAAACAAACCTTTGTGTACATTATGTTCATGCTTTTTGTCGCCATTGTATTCCGTAAAAGTTGTTTCTTAGTTAACCCTCCGTTATGGTGTTAGACACCCTCCGTCCAGTCCAGGAAGTGAGTACCCCTCATCATGGATGCCTTCGCTGCTCCGATGGGCACCGCGACGCTTCGACTAGTCTTCAATTGCTTTTGCTTAGGCATGCGACACTGTGACTGAAGCGGAGCGATTCTGAAAATAAAAATACTTAAAAGAAAATCCAATTGTATTCGCATAAGATATAACCAATTCAAATGCTATCAAGATAACATACTATTCTGCCAATATTTTCTCTATAGTTGGTGTTAGACATCCAGCGCATTGAAAGCAAATTTCGCTCTTCCTATTTACAGCATTTGACAGGTCCGATTACTGAAATCTTAGGACTTTACATATACGAGTAGTGTACTATACTAATAAATGGAGAACTGTCTTTTTTTTGTTTGGTTATAATTCGAAAACTACTGAAGCGATCGGAATAATACTTATACCATAAGATGCAGCGTGTTTCGGAAAGGTTTTTAGTATATAAATTATATGTGTATGATGCTAATTAGCCGAGCTGTCACAACAAAAACGTGGTGGGCGAAGTGCTTGTATGCATATGAAATACGAATTGAATAAAATTTTCGCATAGAGTACTCGAGTTTAAAGTGACAAATTTTAGTGTTGCACTAGTAAATAAGAGATCCAAGATTGACTTGTGCAACAAATGTGACAAGAGTTGCTTTTTTTGTACTTTGTCCGTAACATAGACTACACTGTTGCATTCGCACCGTCACTCTGCAGAACGGGTTATCGTTTTTTTTTCTTTCCGGTCCACTTCAATGTCGGCCTTGTTTATTAATTGTTTGAACTTTGCATCTATTTACCCGCTCATTTTAATAACTTTTGCACTGCCCTTAGCCACAGATTTCGGATGTTATGGTCTGCAAAACGAATAGCGTTTTGGAAGATAGCAGTCTTAAAATATTTAAAACTATATGCGGTAAGTAGTTGTAGGTCAACATATGCATAGATTTGCATTAGACAGATAATGTGAAAGCATTTGTTTGTGCTTACAGCGATCCAGGATAGCAGGTGCTACCTGATGAACGGAGGAGCTGTGGAGAGCTTCTTCATCAGCGAGGACACACCAGTTGGCAGCGTCATTGGTAAGCCGGAATAAGAACCTATGCCCTTGTACACACCTCTGGGACATAAAGCAAGGATAAATCAAATCCAAATTCAAAGATATTTTATTATTTAATGAAGATCTTTTTTGGTCAAAACTTGAATTTAATTAAAACTTCCAGAGTTTACCAGCTAAGGTCATCCGTCGTTCAACAATATTCCTTTTCTCTCCCTCATACATCTATCTTACTCTTACACCTTCCTCTATAGCTAGGAATGGGCTTCGGCACCGGGGTCGTGGGTTTGATACCCATACGGGACAACTACTTGTAAGATACACAGATAATTGTTTCAGATAATGCGGGATATAATATCGAATTTTCATAACACGGGATAATGTTATCCTACAGTAAGGGCAAAATTTTTTTGTTTATAAATAACCACATTGATGTTTTTGAAATATAAATGCAATGCAGAGTGTTGTCACTCTTTTAGAAGAGAAAGCACTCGCATACTAACCATTCAACTTATACAACTCATGGAAATTCACATTTAACTATTCTTCTCATTAATCTGCACCCAAAGAGCATATGCATAAGCGTTAGTTTTATAATGCAGTTGAATAATTTATTAAGCTCTTATACAATACTAGAGTATTTTTGAGATTGTTTATTGTGTCGTAATAAATAAATAATTTATGAACCCAAAATGTGATAGGTTATGAGTCTTAACGACACTCTTCGTTACTCCATTCGTAACTTTGTTTGTTATCATTGTAAGCTGAGTCTGTAATCCAGAGTTTTGATTTTGGTTTATTTCAATTAACAACGGATCGACAGGTTTATAAGTTGCAAAAAGATAAAATTTTACTTTTTATCTCCCCAAAATACACGTTTCCTAGATAGTTACCACAATTGGTACTCTGTTTTTTCCACATGCGTCGTTGCTGATGAAAGGACTTCTTTATGTAGAAGATAAAGCCCTTCATGCCGATCAGTGTGAATCGAAGAACCTTACAACGTGGTGTTTTTTTAATGTTTCTTTGTTTTTTTATGTGAGAAGTCGCTAGCGAGCCGGCAGTTAAGTGATAACCGCCGCCCATTAACATTTGCAACACCTAGGTTTGCAGATGCATTGCCACCTTTTAGTAAAGTGTGTACCAACTACTTTACTCTCCAGACGAAACGCAATAGTATACCACTTCCACTTCACTGGTCGTGGTAGTTCACCGGACGGACTTTTTGATTAGGATGACGGTTCGGGATTAGAGCACAGGCTACTCAAGTATACCGATGACTCTGCCGCGCAATCGCCAAGTTATTGGTTTCTGCATCGAGAGTCGTGGGTTCGATTCCCACACGGGACAACTATTTATGACCGAAAAATAGTTGGTTCGCATCTGAAAAAAAAAACTGAATAAAATTCGAGTGCCAATACACCGAGTTAAGTAGCAGTTCGCAACGGCGCAGGCACCCTCAGCGTGAACGGAGACCCCGGCGCGTCGGGGGACATCTCGCTGTCGCTGCAGGAACGCGACGCGGCGCTGGCCATCGCCCCCGGCACCAAGAACCTGACCCTGGAGCGCGCCCTGGACCGCGAGGAGCGCGAGGGCCCCTCCAGCCTCTACGTCAACGTGCGCTGCGAGAGGCGCCGCACCGCTGACCCGGTCAGTGCGCCACCCCTGACTGCTGTTCTCTTGCTGCTTCTCCTTCCATCGACTAGATTCAGCTTTTCAACTTATAAACAGCGTGTGTCTGCGCAATTCAGACACGGCAGAAGTAAAATTTTTAAAAAGGCACCTGTTTTAATATTCGAATCAAGTGTAAGAGTTATGTTCATATGTACAGAAGATATTCGTAAAATATGTCAAAAGTGAAGAGAGTGACCCGCCGCCCCTCAGGGCTTCCTCGTGCCGGTGTCGGTGCGCGTGTGGGACGTGAACGACAACGCGCCGCAGTGGCTGGGCGCGCCGTTCCTTGCGCGCGTGTCGGAGCTGGCGCCGGCGGGCGCGCGCGTGCTGGCCGCGCCCGCCGCCGACGCCGACCAGCCGGGCCCGCACGCCGCCGTGCGCTACTCCGTGCTGCCGGGCCCGCACGCGGTGACTGCCCGCTCCTCTCTCCATCTCTATCTCTATCTCTATCTCTATCTCTATCTCTTTCCGCACCATGTGTTCTATGTCATCTTTCACGCTCACTCACATATCTTACGTGAAGCGGATCAATTTTTAAACGCCGCGCAGTATGGACATGTCTATATTATTATCCAAATTGCATCAATTTGCATTGCATAGCATTGAAAGTGACAAGTAACAAGCTATGGTTCACCTGATGTTAAGTAAAAACTGCCCGTGGACAATTGCCACCTTTTGGTAAAGTATGCCCCGATAACCTCAATCACCAGATAAAACTCAGAAGTGTAACACTTCCATTTTGCACCGGTCTTTTTCGAAGAAGAAGAGGAGGTCGTGTAACATTGACAACTGTTGAAATTGTTTCATATGTAATCGTACGTACAGATCAGCACATATGTTTTACCTGTCCGTATTTATTTCTAGACTCTACCCACTTAAGCAATGCACTCCAAACTCCTGTCACACAGTTCTATTGCGCCCATTCTTATAACAGTGAGAAGTTTGTTATATTTTTCAACATGTATGTATTCGCCAGGATTACATAGGCTTCGCCAACGAACTGGACAGCATGCTGGTGGTGAAGAAGCCCCTGGACTACGAGACCGTGAGCAACTTCACGGTAAGACTTCGTGCGCAGGACCAGGGCACGCCGCCGAGGTACAACGACACGGAACTCTTTGTTCAGGTTTGTCTACTTTTCGTGGTCCGCCTTATTTTTTACTATATTAATCATTTATACTCTTATGAATTTTAGTCTTGATATACGTTCGAGTTCACACTTACGTGTTATTGAGATCAATAGAAAATGGTTTACCCTTTTTAAGTATAGGTTAGTTATATTTTGCCTTAACTATTATAAACAGTCTACTCTTGTAACTTGTACTGTAGATAAGAACCCATAGTTAACGTCGTGTAGGAGGTAGAGATTTCCATTGGCTAATCGGTTTTTAGGAATTTACTTGTACATGGGCTTAGTCCTAGTATATATAAGTATATATATATAAGTCCTAGCTACAAACTTCTTCTTCTTTTTCTTACCCTTATGCTACACCAGTTAGTTCCTCTTTCAGCCGTAATTCAATACTCCCCCTTTCATGGAAATATCATTCTTTATACGGCCGATCCAAATCTTTCTCGGTCTTCTCTCAGCTTTACACTCTCCAACCACAATCATACTATTCTAGTCACATGACTTCCCTTTTCATACCATGTCAACCTACCACTCCCAATTTTCTCAGTCTAGTGTTTTACCAAATCACAGTCAAACTCATTTTACTCGTATACTTGTTAAAACTACAACAATTCCTACCGACATATGACAGGTGCTGGACGCAGACGACCAAAACCCGAAGTTTACTCACGATCACTACATCGCCATTCTGCCCGACGACGCGCAAGAGGTATGCAACATCGGCATGCTCCGAGGCGACTTCGACTCTGCTCCCGCTATAACGAGCCGCGTTATAGGGGACGGTGCTGGAGACGCTGCCGGGGCCGGTGGCGGCCGCGGACCAGGACAAGGGCATCTGCGCGCCCCTGCACTACTCACTGGCCGCCACGGCGCGGCCTCTGCTCCTGGTGCACAGGGACTCCGGCCGCTTGGCCACCACGGCGCAGCTGCTGCAAGCGGACCTGCCCCTCACGTTGCTCATCAAGGTGCAGCTTAGAAGACATTTCACTTTTTTCAGTCTTCGCTTTTGCACGAATCAGCAGGCTCGTCCGTGGAATTACCACGGCTTCACATAAGACTAGTGTGAAGTGGGAGTTAACCTTCTGCCTTTCTAAGCTAAGCTAAGTAACCGAGGTCCGCATAATTAAAAGGCGGCGACCCATTTGCATCCCCACGGGTGGTACAATTGTCCATAGACGGCAGTTACCGTTTAAATTCAGGAGAACCGCCGCCACCTTCCCACTTAAAAACTGCCTCGTTTCGGAAGCAACGCGCTGAATCTTATCCAGAATTGTAATGTAACAACCGGTTGTGGGAGGACAGGCGACGCAGGTGGACAACGCGGACCGGTACGCGCTGGCGGCGCTGGAGGTGCGGCGGCCCGCGAGGGCGCCCCGCCCCCCGCCCCCTTCGGCCCCTTCGCCCCGCCCCCCGCCCTCTTCGCCCCCCTCGCCCCCGCCCCGGCTCGCCTTCGAGCGGCGCGCCTTCGCGGCGCTCGTGCCGGAGGACACGCCGCCCGGCGCCGCGCTGCTGCCGCTGCGCACCAACGCCGCGCACCAGGTGAGCTGACGACTTGTAGCCTTGCCAAGCGAGATTGGCAGAGAGTGGCCAGACGTGAGCTCCTGGGAGACGAACATCTAAATCCGGAAGGACTATCCGCGGTGTTTATCGTGTTCTCTTGTGTGTTCAGCCGCCGCTGCAGTTCTACGTATCGGACAAGAGCTTTCTAGAGAAGTTTGCAATAAACAACGCTGGCGAAGTTGTGCTCCGTTCGCCGCTCGACTACGAGGTCGCAGACTCTTACCAATACCAGGTCATGGTCACCGATGGAGTCAACGTGAGTTCCTGATAATATGATGAACATCTTTATCTTTGTTTAGGTCAGGAATCAAATACACGGGATAATTAAGAAAAACCGGCCAAGTGCGAGTCGGACGCGCGTATGAAGGATTCCGTACCATTATCTATAAACCATGTCTGTTGTATGGGAGTCCCACTTAAACATTATTTTATTCCTTTTTTTTAGTATTTTTGTGATAGCGGCAACAGAAATACATCATCTGTGAAAATTTCAACTCTCTAACTGTCACGGTTCATGAGAGTCGGGTGACAGACGGTCAGACAGAGTAATTTCGCAATAATAAACCAGCTGTAACGATAGATGCAGGTGGTTTAGGATCGTACTTCGTGGTAGGTGAGGAGTCTACTGCTGAGCGTATCAGCAGTGGACTCGAACAGGCTGAAATGATGATGAGGCTGATGATGAAGCCAGCTGTAACGAATTAACGAGGTTTTAGAAATGTAAGCACAAATTTTCACGGTCTAATTTAGTTTAGGTTGCATATGAGCAACGTGTAGGTTAAGAGTACTAGCAATTGGTCTTGGACACAGAACGACACGGCGACGGTGAACATCAGTGTGGCGGACGTGAACGAGTGGGAGCCTCGCTTCCGCCAGCCCAGATACGAGTTCCGGCTGCCGTGAGTTTCGCCCCCATCGAACCCATTTCGCGAATCACAAACTATATTATCAATCTTATTTAATTTAACAGTTTTTATACAATCTAAAATCATTAGGGAAAAATTAAAACAGAAGTTGTATTAAAAGTTTTTACATTTAGGCGAGTATAAAGATAAAGAAAGTGTAATCCCAGACTGGTAATTCCCGTTCTCTTCATAATTTGTTATAAAAGACTTGTTAATTTTAATAAATTTTAATTATATGACATGAAAGACGTTTATCGAAATCGCCGATTTGTGAATGCAGGGCGGGCGGCGGGCTGGCGCAGAACGCCGTGCTGGTGGGGCGGCTGGAGGTGCACGACGGCGACCGCGGCGACGCCGTCTCGCTCGCACTGCACGGCGACGACGCCCCGTCAGTATTCTCCCTCTCTCTCTCTCTATCTTGACTTTGCCTCGCACAACCACTCTGCGGTTACGACCTGGGAACCTTCGAGAAGAGAGCATACTCTCTCCTGAAAGGCCGGCAACGCATTTGTGAGGGTAATCACTTACCATCGGGTGAGCCTCCTGCTCGTTTGCCCCTTTTCTCCATAAAAAAAAAAACTTTCACACTCCTTCTCTCTTCTCTACGCTTCAATCAAACACTATTCATTCTTCTTCTGTCAGCTTTAAAGTTTCATTTTTTTGCGCCACCGGCTAAGTTTTCAACGCTACAAACGACAGCACAATAGTCGGATTAATAAGGTTGTATTGATGGTACTCTCGAACAATTTTCCCTAATTGTTTATTTTTCTATGATATATGTGTGACTATTTTGTTTTTTAAAAGCTGTTTGTAAATGTATCAACATTACCTTTTTATTACCATCGTTCCCTTAACGGTTGCATAGCGGAAGATTTTTTAAGGAAATTCAAGAAAATGGTTATCGAGACCATCGGAGTTCTCCCCATCTGCCAAGTGGGAGACGGTAAGTAGAGTAGCGCGTGACCGATATTCTCAATGAAACTCCCACGATTCCCTCAGCCTGTTCTACATAAGCAACGAGGGCGAGCTGTTCCTGCGCCAAGAGGCGTTGTCCGGGCTGAACTCGTCGATGCTGCACGTCGTCGCCACCGCCACCGACTCTGGGGTTCCGCCGCGACAGGTAACCATGCGCCCTTGTCGACCTTTAGCGTCAATAATGTTAGCAAATTAACCAATGGTACAACTTTTCTTTACTAAAAGTTGTCTTTTTATGCGAGAAGGGGGCAAACGAGCTGGCGCTTCAACTAATGTTATACGATAACTGTTATCCATAGATATTTAAAATGGCAGTTGCAAATGCTTAAATAATGAAATAAGCGGGGCCTTTGTACAAATTATTTCATCTATTTACATCTCTGCCATAACTCTGTGTACATAAGTTATAAAATAAATAAACGAAACGCAGAAGCATTACACTTCCACTTTACGTCGGTCTTCTGCTGAGTTGTGGTACACCATTGGCGCAACAGCGAGCACCGTCGCGTGGCCCCACCGCATTGGAAGTTTTGTTTCGCTTTCGTCGTCCATACTCGTTGCGTCCGCCGTCGGCAGACGTCGGCGCTTGTGGCGGTGGCGGTGGCGGCGCGCGGAGGTGGCGGCGCGAGTGGTGTCGCAAGTGGCGGGGGTCGCGGCGCGGCGCTGGGCGGGCTGGCGGCCGCGCTGGCGCTGCTCGCGCTGCTGGCCCTCGCGCTCGTCGCGTACGCGCGGCGCCAGTGAGTCATGTCTTCCCACTGTCTGGGTGTCTGTCTATTTATTTGCAAAAGAAAAGTATGTTTAACTATGTTTATCGGTCATTACGTAGTACGACTGTCACGACGACTATGGAAGCGCTTTACGACCGCAAGCCCTCGCTTTCTTCTGACATACTGTCGAAAGATGGATTTCGATTGCTTGTTAATTTTTATAAATTTATCTCACTGGATGAAAAATGGTCATCGCAACTGATGGACGTAATTAATATTACATTTAAAAGAGTCTTTTAAAGACTCTTTTAAAGGTCTCCCTGTTGTATTTTGTGATGTATTTTATATTGATCTGATTTATTATTCTTATATTTTTTGTTTATAATTTATTGTGTAATTTTTTATTCTTACTTCCTTTATATGGCATCCGTGAGCGGGCGTGCGATCATTACATTTTGAATTTAAAATAAATACGGGTACTTTCTGTCATACGTCCTTCTTCTTTTCCCGTACGCGCGCTCTGCTAACGTGTCCACTGTGTCCACGTAATTATCCTGAGTTTTAAATTGTATTTGTACTTTGTTGCAAATAAAGAACTGTTAATCTCAATTTGAGAAATTCCGTACAGTATTGTTTCCAAAAACTCTTTACTCGTGTAATAACTCGAAGAAGGAGTAGATGAAATGAAAGAGCATGACTGAAAACTTCAATCAGTCATAAAACTCTACAATTTACACCCAAATCTTGCAAAGAAATGACCGTAGACCGATAAAACTGCCTAAATACCTCAAAAAGGGCGCTAGGATTTAATGTACATATTATCTATATACATCGTGTTTTTACCATCGCGACAATAAATGAACACACGTTTAACGCTACTTGCCAATAATCATAAAAAAATATTAACGTTAAACAAAATCCATAATTAAAAAAAAAGTATTTTTCAAACAAACTAATTAAGTAAAAAAGAAACAAAATTTGAAACATCCTATACAACTCGCGCCACAGCGTCGTATTACAAGCCTCTCCTTCTAACAGTATGTTTTGTCTCTTAAATTCATTCAACCCATTCATATGCTTTGTGACCTTTACAAATGAACTTTACGTTACAGTTTTATAGGTAAGGGTGTTCTAAAATTCTTTGTTTTGGAAAATTTAATAACTCTGAAAATATTGATTTTTAAAGAATGTTAATGTTTCATACAATTTTAAAAAGTATATTTTAAAAAGACACGCTGTATACAGGAGGCGACGAAAACGCACCGAAGAGTCTGTCACCATGCCAACGGAGAAGGCGGCAGTCGGCGTCGGTGGCGGTGCTGGTGGTGGAGCTGGTGGTGGTGGTGGTGGCAGTTCGGGCTCGTTGCTGAGCGTGTCGGCGGGCGCCAGCACCATCCTCGCCGGCTCCAGCGCCAGCCTGGAGCGGACGGACGCACCCAACAGTGAGCGACAACGTCCATCTATCGCCTAATCGCAACATGGCCACAGAACGACATATATAGAAAGAAAGAAATACTTAATAAGTCACAAATTGTAACTTTTGATCTTATAGTTACAGTATCGGATATATAAAATACTTTTACTTCTTATACTCTAAAATTTTTATTCTCTTATATCATAACTATTTACTTAACAACGCCTTGAGAAAATCACTAGCAAAGCTTAAAGCTTGTTAATAAAATAAATAATAAATGTGTTGACATAGGTGATAACTTCCATATAAATAAATAAAAAAGTTTCAATTACAATGAAAGTACTAAAGAAGGTGATTTCTACACATTTAACATTATTATTCTAGAGCTAAATAATTATGTTTCTATATATTTTCAATGTTCCACAGGCGTGGTAGTTTGCACATTACATCGTCATAAAACATACAGAAACACAAACGTTATTCGACATTGAATCGTAACATCTCAGTTATACAATTTCTTCTCTAGTAGGCCATTATTGTCGTGGGTCGATAAAATGGGACGGAATGTTTGAGCGATACATACAACAAATTATTTGCGATTGTTCTTAAAATTTAACACACCACAAACATTTGAATTTTTGTGCTAATCTCTGCACTTATAACGACACTCAAGAATATGTAGATAAAAATGCTTAGTGCTTAGAGCGTCTAGAGCAGTGATTCTCAACCTTTTTTGTGTTGCGGCACATATTAAACGATTTCAAAATTTGGCGGCACACAAGCAACACACATTGATTGAAGACTTTAGTCTTCAAACATTGAGGTAAAATTATTTACGAGTTGGATTTACCTCTACAAGCCACACTAGGTAAACGTACTCGCATAAATAGTTTGAGGTCATTGATAGCACCCAAAATTTGAAATATACGCAAAATAAACAATGTTATATATTACAATGAAAAATAACTGAAACGGGGATATTATTAAGGGATTAATTACGAGCTGGACGGACATAATAAAAATATTTTTAATGCGAAGAGCCCGAAATTTGAGCTTGATGTTTTTTGATAATCTGCCGCAAGGTTTCATGGTTATATTTGGTCGTATTCAAAATGACAATGCTATTCTCATATCGTCTTCTACATTTAACAATCTGCCACCCTGAAGGACGGAATGTGAAGAGCCTCTAGGATCGATCTTTTTTTAGTTTTAATGTTTAGCTAATGCCAAACAATAGTTTTCTTTTTTTAAATGATATAAAATTTAATAATATTAACATTTTATGTTTTTTTTGGTTATATATTTGCAAAATTTGGCGGCACACTTTTGAAATTTTGGCGTTCAAATTTCAAGACACAAAAAGTGCCGCGGCACAGTGGTTGAGAATCACTGGTCTAGACGAATCGAATTCTGAACTCGGCGAAAAATCGTTTTAAAAAACGTTTTATCTACATAAACAACTAACATAAATTTTATAAATACTTTTAATATGACAAAATAAAATGGCCATCGTTTGTTCTGTGTATTTACATACATACTTTATTCGAGTATTGATCACCGAATAGAATGCACAGAGACGTTAAGCAACGAGTCTGGTACCGCAGGCGCAAACGCGAACAGAAAGTCGCAGCGGTTCCCGGCCAAGAGCAGGGTGGCCCCGGTGCCGGCGGGGGGCGTGGGCGTGGGCGTGGGCGTGGGCGTGGGCGCGGGGGTGGGCGTGGGCGTGGGCGTGGGCGCGCTGATGAGCGACCACGTGGGCGCGCGCCCCGGCGGCCGCTCCGGCGTGGCCTGGCCCAGCGCCACGATCCCGGCGCGCGTCAAGAAGCTCAGCTGGGACGACGCGCAGGTACTCTCCTCTCGACGCTTCTCCGGGTGGAGAAGATCCCCTAATCGATATGCTATTATTAACAAACCTCTTCAGCTCTACGGAAAGGACTGTAACACTATGAAGAATTGTTAAGTACCCGGCAGGTATGGGATTCCCCTTTATTTATCTTCTAGATTATAATCTGCTTCAGTTACCTAATAACAGTATGGTGGAGATCCATCATTAAATGGATCTCCACCAGCTGGTAGTCTGTTGCTCCTCATCACTGACTTTATTGAATGTCGGGATCATATTGTACCTATTTAAATTGTTCAAGAGTTGTTCAGCAAGATTGTGTTTGCCACAGATAAGAATTTAGATCACTCGAGTGTACTCCTTTTGTGATGTGGCTTTACCGGGGAAGTACCGTGACCTCACCAAAATAGAAGAGAAGCAAGTGATTGGAGGTAACTAGAGATTCACTCTCTGAATGGTTGACAACACCTATCTGCCTGATGGCATTAAAATACTGAGCTAAAACCGAGCGCCGTGGTTCGTCTCCGCTCAAACCGTAGATGGTTTTTTTATGGGTCAGAACGTGCCCAGCGAGCTGGTGGTTCACCTGATGTTGAGTGATAGGTCTTCTGTGAGGTCGCGGTACTTACCCGGACGGAGCTGCACATTCGTGCAACAGTCGCGTGGTCCCACCACAGTTAAGACTGATGGTATTAAAAATACTGAGCTAAAAGCGGGCGCCGTGGTTCGTCTCCGCTCAAACTGTAGAGGCAACTGGTGGCATGGTTGCAGGGGGGCGGCGAGGGGGGCGGCGAGGGGGCGCGGGTGAACGAGGCGACCAACGCGGCGGTGGCCGAGAACATGAACCTCACAGTGTACTTCTGACCTATGACCCACAAAGGGGAACTGGAAACAGGCACGGCTCAGGTGGAACCTTTGCCGAGTTGTGAACTGGAAACTGGAAGGTTGTATTCCTTCGTGTAACCTTTCTAGAATGACAATTTTTGGAACCCCGAACGGTCATCGTTTCCGAATGAACAGCGCAACCAAATACCGAATCGGATATAAGGTCTGACCACAGGTCAGCTGGACTTTATAGGCTTTTTATTTAGGCTTACGGAATGTTATAAGTGATTTAGGTCTCCTTGTAAATATGCAAGGTTATTCTAGACGACAGTAGACGAGTATTTTTACATTCCTGCTTGAAAGACGGGTACGATTATTTATTCTTGGTTTCGCGATTAAAAACTCGATATTGATTGTATTCGAAACAAACGTGAAAAATTGTTTAATGTTTTATGATGCACTTTCTCGTAAGAATGAATGTAAGATATTAATACATAATATGCTAGTTATACGTAAAAAAATTTTGATACAATAAATGATTTATTAATTGTAAATCATTTCATTATCTTTTTCCATTACTGTGTAGGTAAATTTGTAATTTTATAAAAGCATGTTAAAAATTTTATTAAAACTGTTATTAAAATTTTACGTTACGAAGTCTGTTTTTTTTTTAAATCCAATAAAAGCTTATTTTTATGGTAGCTCAAGGTATTCTGAGTTGTATATATGTTTATAAATGTGTGTGATGTTGTACTGTTTGCTGACGATACATCGCTAATTTTTGAAGTTGACCGTAACGTATTAAATTATGACGACGACATTATGTGAATAGTGCACTTTCGCATATCCTCCACTGGTTTACTATTAATAATATGGTATTAAATGCCAAAAAAACCAGATGTATTCTTTTTACCCTTCCCAGTATAAGAAGGAAAAGTTTTAGTTTAATATTAAATAACGTACCCATTAATCCAGTTGAGTCTGCTGTATTTCTGGGAATTACAGTAGATTCAAAGCTCCAGTGGAGTCCCCATATATCATCTCTTGCGAATAGGCTGAGCTCCGCGGTTTTTGCGATTAGAAGGGTTAGGCAGCTAACAGACATCGACACTGCCAGACTTGTTTACTTTAGTTATTTTCACAGAATCTTGTCGTACGGCATTTTGTTGTGGGGTAGTGCATCAGATATAAATTCTATATTTATTCTTCAAAAAAGAGCTGTCCGAGCAATCTACAATATCGGAGCCCGGAATTCACTCAGAGATCTTTTCTTCTTCTTCTGGGGGGCCCTATCCTATCGGATGTCGGCGACCACCACACGGAACTCTTCTCTATTCTGCGCCAATCTACAAAGACTGACGGCGTCCTTGATGTCTGTCCATTTTTTCAAATTGTCACTCCATGTTATTCGTCTTCGTCCCCTTCCCCGTTTTCCTTCTATTTTTCCTTCATATATATTTTTCAATATGTTATATTTCTCATGTCTATATATATGTCCAAAATATGCGGTTTTACGTTTTTTAATATTTACCAATATTTCTAGCTGTTTCTTCATTCTATTAAGTACCTCTTCATTCGTTATTCTATCTCTCCATGAAATCCTCAACATACGTCTATACAGCCACATTTCGAAGTTTTTTCGCGTTAATTTTTGATTCGGTACTTTTGTTTAGCGTCCAACCCTCGGCCCCATACAGAAGCACTGACACAACGTAACACTTCACCATTCTCCATCTGAGTTTAAGTGTGATGTCTTTGTTATTGTAAAGTTTTTTCATTTTCATGAAGGTGCACCTGGCGATTTCTATTCTCGTACGGATTTCTTTTTCAGGGTCGGAGTCTTCGTTTAGCCAGGTTCCCAAATATCTATATTTTTCAACTTTTTCGATGGTTTGGTTTGCTATTTTTAATGTATCTGGCACTATCTTATTCTTGTTAAAAATCATGTATTTGGTTTTAGATATGTTCATTTTTAGACCATACTGCAGGTCTTCGAGTGAGTGTGCCAGAAGAACGGTGTCGTCAGCATATCTCAGATTATTTATTACGGTACCGTTGACTTTGATGCCTGTTTCTATTCTATCAAAAGCTTCATTAAAAATGTTTTCTGAGTAAAGATTGAACAGTAATGGTGAAAGAATACATCCCTGTCTTACCCCTTTTAAAATTTGTAAGTTCCCCATTCTGTGATCTCCTATTTTAATATGTGCAGTCTGATTCCAATACAAATTGCTTATTAGTCTGATATCTTTACTATCTACTTCGGTCCTCTTTAAAATTTGCATCAATTTTCCGTGTTTAACGTTGTCAAACGCTTTTTCAAAATCTATAAAGCATGCATACTGTAACGACCTATTAATAATAATAAATATTATTATTAATAAATATTATTATTAATTGATCTTTATTATGACTAATTAATAATAATAAATATTATTATTAATTAGTCATAATAAAGATCAATTAAGATGAAAATAAAACGTTTAAGAACGTTTAATCACAATAAAAGTTAATAATATATACTTAAATTAAAGAAACATAAGTGTTAGTATGAGATAATGATATTACCAAAAATTGATAAAAAATAGTTAAAAATCACTTAAAATACTCTAAAAAGGATATTTATTAAAAATATAGTAAGATACGATCACTATTATGTCCATTAAATACAATTCCATACTTAGTGATTTCTAAGGGAAGTATTATGTACCGTGCGGGGACACATTTGTATGACCGCACATATATAAGTACAGAGGTCGATCGCGACTCTTAGTACTATAGTCAAAGTACATTGTATGAACGTCCCATACCAATATCATATGGAAGTAAGGTCTAATGGATAAAAGTAATAATATGTGAAGGCTCAGAGAAAAAATAATGAATATATAAATATAATGAAGAGCAATGAATGACTTGGGACTTTATAAGACATATTACTATGGAGTTGCGTGGTACTTCTGTACGACGATATGGTCTACGGTAAACGTGGAACCATGAATGGATATGTCTTCAGTGGTGGACATATCATCGATAGCTGGTGGTAGTTGGCGTCTTAGTGACCATCACTATGATACGTTGACTGTCATTCGGCATAGTAAGAGTTTGGTGGTAGTTGGCGTCTTAGTGTGTTGCACTATGATACGTCGACTGATCATCTGACTTTGGGGAGTCTGGTGGTGGCTTGCGTCTTAGTGTATTCCACTATGATACGTTGGCTATTACTTGACTGGGGTGGGGGTCCGTTGGTGGTTGGCGTCTTAGTGTTTACGCTATGATACGTCGACTATCATTCGGATCGTGAAAGAGTATGTTTGGACACTTCGTGTGTTCCGAGTATATTCTAAACTTTGGAGCTGAAGTTGATTGGAGTTGTATTGGTGTGGTGTGAGGGTGTGCCACCTACGCGATAGTCACATTGATGCATGCGGCTATATGCAGTACTGCGTCTTGTGGTATTTGCGGGGTGATCTGCGCCTAATATCATTGCATCGTATGATTCTGGTTGACGGAGGTTCGAGGTGATGATGTCTGCTGTGTATGCGGATAGGCTGTATGTTGGCGTGTTCACCTGCGATAGTTGTATTGATGCATGATGCATTTAGTGACATTGCGTCTTACGACATTTGCTTGGGAGACGACGCTATTCATAATGGCCGAGTCTGCGTCTCGGTTTGATGCACATCTCAGTAGTTTTGTCCAAGTCGGGTTCCTGATGACGGAACTGCAGACTGTCTGACCTCTCTTATACGTTTTAACATAATTAACGAATCTCAGTAAAGTTCCCACCATTCGAACGAATAATGGCAACTTGCTGGTGGGTGAGACAAACTTGATCGAAAATACATTATACTCAACGTCAGAGACACTGACAAATAAATATATGTTGCCAATTATAAACCCTTCTGATGGCTAAACATAAAAATCACAACTATGGCTATATCTGACTATTTCAATGGTTGGTGGAGCATATGCGTTTACCTCATGTGGATGGTAGCTGGCGGGAGAAAACCTCTCAAGGATGCGGCGATGCCGTGCAACGTTTTAACCATACCCTTGGGGCTACGCGCTCTGCGACGAAATGTCGTGCTAACCCTTTTAATGGTGGTGATGCCAAAACACTAACAATCACGTCTGCAGTCGCGGCGATCTGGCAAAAGTGGTGGCGCTTACGGAGGGCTTATTATATCATAGGGCCAGAGTGCCTGATCTTTAACACATGCCCAAAACCGTATTGACGTACATTCACGAAGACTGGATTTGTCGTCGGCTTGTATGACGTTTACACGCATTGACATGCGCGACTTCGGTCAAAGTTTGTGCTTACGCACTGCCAAGGGGCCAAGCCCTCTTTATGCTGGTAAAACAGCTTTGCAATGGACTTCGGTCCTTTCCCCAACTTTTTGTCCCTCTTCTGGGGGAGGGGGGGGGGGGGGGGGCAATATGTTGGTTGGCGCTCACCGCACACGGCGTTGGTGAGTGTTTTCATGGAGCCGTGTGCCTTCCCTACATTTTTTTAAAATGTGGGGGAGCTGTTGACTTGTATCGGGTATGTAAAATTGATGTGAGCACTTTTCAAGAGAGAAGGGATATTATTTTAAAATTATATTGTGAGCCCTTTACAAGCGTGAGAGGGAGTATACTATATACTCTGAGCCCGTCTCAAGCGAGTCGGGGTTAGTTAATAAGAATCAATCTAGCATTATCTCTGGCTTATACCACGACTAGTGAATATTTATCTATCCAAGATACACCTAAAAGAATCAAGTTACTAATTAAACACAACGTAAATGAGGGGTCCTACCGAACATGACGATCACAATAATATTTCATACGGCTAATTATTACCTTTAGAAAGATCCTATAGAAAGATCAATAAATTATCCTGGTCACGTAATGATGTTATATGATTTATTCATATAATGGGGGAAAAACCAAATTTAACTTATAATTATATATACACAATAAAGGGGGGGGGGGGGTGCGAGTGACAATACACATCCTTGCTAAATTCTCGACACTTCTGTATCAGCACCTGTATGGCGACAAGGGCCTCTCTAGTTCCTAATCCGTTACGGAAACCAAATTGCGTGTTTGATATATATTTATCAATTTTATTGTATATTCTAAGATGTAATATTTTTAAGAATACCTTAAGGGCATGACTCATTAAGCTAATTAATCTATGATCACCGCATCTCTTTGCATTGGACTTTTTTGGAATTGGGAGAAAGGAGGATTGAAGCCAGTCGTTTGGGATCTTTCTCGTATCATAAATTTTATTGTAAAGTTTTATCAATAACTGCAAACTGTCGGTATCTAATAGTAATTTTAACATTTCTGCATGCACTCCATCTTGGCCAACCGCTTTTCCATTCTTCATGCAATTAATGGCTTTTTCTACTTCCCCTTTAAGTATGGGTGGTCCTTCCAGTTGATGTTCAAGCTGATATCTTTCCCCATACGAGTTTACCATCTCTCTCTCATCTCCAAACAGATCTTTTATATATTTTTCCCAGGTCTTACATTGTTGTTCTTGATCTATAATTAACACATTTTCTGCATTTATTAGATTTCCCGTTAATTTATTTCTATGGGTATTTGTAAATTCTTTGACCTTTTTATGCAAATTGAAGCTGTCGTGATTCTTCTCCAATGTTTCTATTTCTTCGCATTTATGTTTATACCATTTATCTCTTACTTCTCTGATTTTTGATCGGATCACTATATCTATCTCTTTATATTTAGTCTTGTCTATTTCTTTATGTTTTCTTCTCTCTTCCATTAAATCTAAAATTTCTTTTGTAATCCATTCTAGCTTTTTCGTTTGTTTTCTATGTCCTAAACATGATTTTGCAGTATTAATAATTCCAGTTTTAATCTTATCCCAGGTTTCTTCTATATCAATCAAGTTTACTGTCTCTGTCAATTTCTGGAGCTCTTCATCTAATTGTTGTTGTGTTTTGAGTTTTATGTCTAAATTTTTGAGTTTGTCCATATCAATTTTTTCAAAATTATGTGGTTTCTTCAATACTTTGAGTTTTAACTTTAATTTAGCTACGAGAGGATTATGATCCGATCCAATGTCAGCGCCTGGGTATGTTTTCACATTTATAACAGAATTTCTAAATCTTGTCTCGATCATTATGTAGTCTAATTGGTTTCTTACTATGCGATCCGGTTTATCCATAGGCGAGATCCATGTGTATAGTCTCCATGGTGGTTGCTTGTACCATGTATTTGTAAGAACTAGGTATCTTTCTACACAAAATTGTAGGAGTCTATCGCCTCTTTCATTTCTTTGTCCTAAGCCAAAGTTTCCAACAGTTTTGCCTACTGCCCCTTTCCCGATTTTAGCGTTCATGTCTCCAAGTACTATAACTACTTCTTGTGATTTTATACTGTCCATCACTTCTTCAACTTGTCTGTAGAAGGATTCTATCTAATCATCCGTTTTCTCGGCAGTGGGAGCGTATACTTGTAGAACATTAAGATTGAAGGGGCGGGCACTAAATTGTAACAGCATACATCTATCTGAGTGTGGGACAAAGTTGGTAACGTAACGGTAACTATCTTTTCAAAGAGGTTAATATACTCACTGTTGCTTCTCAATACATTTATTGTAATATTTTGTATATAAGTCATAACCTTAATTATTACCTAAAGAATAGTGACAGACATAAAATAAACACTAGAAATAAGGACAAACTTACTACGCCATTGTTTCGTATACAAAAAGTAAATAGGTCGTTCATGGGGCAAAGTGTGCGCATGTATAGCAGTCGATATTAAGTCTGCCGCTTGAACAATTTAAAAGTAAAATTAAAATTCAACTTATGATTAAAGCATATTATACCATTTCGGAATATCTCGACGACGCCAATGTGTGGAGTAAATACTGTTGATACTCACGTAGGCTAGAATAAGACTATTATACCTGTATATTATATTGTACCCTGATATTTTTGAAAAATAGCAACTGTTGAGTTTCTTGCCGGTCTCTTCTCAACAGAAACTGCTTTCCGAACTGGTGGTACCTTACGAACCTATATACATAATCTTTGATGTAAAATTTGACGATTCATAAGAGCGCGCAAGCGTCTATTTGAATAAATATATTTTTGATTCGGAGGTTAGATATCTATTTTGTGTATCTCAAACAGAGTGGCGGTGTTCAGATCCACTGCAACTTCCTGTCACACTTATTTAAATGTAAACTTATATTTTTTAAACATTGCCCTTACTACTAGATTTTAGTTTACAAACAAAATTTTCACATGGAACATCCGAAACAAGTATCTGCGGGTCACACCAATAGTTGTCCCGTGTGGGAATCGAACCCACGACCCCCGCCGCCGAAGCCAACTACGAAGACAACTGCGCCACGGAATCTTCGACAACCAACGAAACTAAATTTATCATGCTTACAATATTATAAGTATGCTTGCAAATTAAAAGTGATAGTTTTATTTAACAACATTCTATACAAAAGTGACACCGGGCTCATAAAACTCAAAACAAAGGTAATCTCTTGTTACTCACCGGACGAAATCTTTTGCATTTTGTAAATGCTGTCAGGCTGCGGTTCTTACTCGGTCCCTGTTCGTCGAGAACAGGAGCTTTTATGTAAGCTGATAATAAAAGAAGCAGTAACAGTAATTAAATTGATTAAAAACAAGCATACTAAGAGATGGTGACACCATTTATATGCTTTAAGAGGGACAAATCCCGAACACATTTTGTAAATGATTTTACGAGTATTTTATGTGTGATGCTGGCGGTAAACGGACCTGCCCATTCGTGCAACATCGAATACTATTTCGTGGCCATACTACTGTTAAAATATGTGTCGGTTTCTAAAACCCATTAACAGCGACTTAATCTTTTAGACTTAAAAAAATGCCTTTAAGCACATCAAGGCCCAAACGTGGGGACTCGGGGAGGCACTCATTCCGCACACCGATCGCAATAGCTTCGCAAAAACAAACTTAAACGAAAACTTACCGGTTCAAGTCGTAGGCAAAAATAATGTTGTTGTAATCAATGTAAAATTATTTATGTATTACATACAAATACCTCCACTTCACGCCGGCCTTCTGTCGTACTTTCCGAGACCATAATCCTGCGCTTCTAAACAACAAGACATTTTGTGGGGACCACAGTAAACACAAAGCCTTCTTAACTCAATAGATTTGTTACATTTCTAGTAGCGCGCTGTAGTACACATATCAATCTTACACCTTATACTTTAGATCGAACTATATTTGCGCATTACCTTCCGCGGACTGTCCGCAGTCTGGGGATAGCGTGGCCATGCGCATGTTTACATGTGAGCCGAGGCGCGCTCTCTCCTCCCGACCTTGCTACGAAAGTGGTTCTTGCGCAACGTACTCTCACGAAGCGATGCCAAACACGAGTGACGTCACCCTTCGATCCTGTTCCTAACGGAGCGAGCGTTTGTTGTTTTGAAATGACTACGAGTAGACAGTTCTTTGAGAGAAAAGAATAAGCTCTCAAATCAAAAATCATCAAGTCAGTTTTTCAGGTATGGAACTCAGTTTTCTTTCACTGAAAACTAGGAGCTGCTGAACATGAAAATGGTATTGTAATTCCAGCTCTGTCTCGACCTTCGAGGGAAGAATTGAAAATTGAATCGTACTCGGGGTGCCAATGTAAGGAAAGTTCACCTGATGTTAAGTGACGTATATAAAAATATTAACTTTCAACACTATTCAACCACGGTTAACGCTCAGGTTATGGTTTTACAACGACACGGAGATTCTTTATATTATTAACCTTCAGCATGAACGGCACACGCGGTACAAGTTACCAACAAAACTTTTAAGTGAAAGTGACTCTTCGATTATGTTTATTACACTTTACTCGGCTCTGCCCACAAAACGTAGGTATGCTCACCGATTGGAATAAAACAATAGCGTTGCATATTAAAATGTTATTGTGATTCTAGAATTACTGAGGGGAATAAAAAGTGACAGCTTTTTCTGGTCCACATTACAGCAATATTAATTTCAAGAATTTTTTGTTATCATTTTAAATGAACAAAAATAATCTCTATTTTAAGAATTGCTTACTGAATTAGGTGCTTGTAAAGGATTTTATGTAACGATTACATTTCAATATGTTTCGTGATCTTCGATTAGTTATGGAAGATACTTTAGACTATTTTTATTAATATTCATGATCGCACTGAACTATCTTACGATTTATTAACATCCGTGTAGAGCCACTATTCATCATTACACCTCGTTCACGTCATCACTATTGTTACAGTGAATGTTTGTTGATAGCACTGAAAATCAACTTCGATCATTGGTAAAATTACATAATATCAAGGGCAGCTCTGCACTATACAACAAACTATTTTTTTAATTAACCGCATTCCCTTGGTATCGATAATTTTCCATGTTATATACATAGGTATTGTTAATTATAATTAGGGCTAATGTAAACATATATATACAACACGTATCCTTAAAATGCACTGTGAAGTTTAAACAGCTTCATAAATATTTATGACCGTACTCAGCCGTACTCGCGAGATGTCAGTTTTCTCTTATTTAGGTCTATATTATAAAAATTTGTAGAAAAAAAAGGACGAAAAGTTTGCCGCTGTGGGAATCGAACCCACGTCTTAGGAATTCGTACTCTCACGCTTTAACCACTAAGCTAAACGGCTTATCGCCACACCGACGATATATTTTATAATATTAACTTATAATATTAATTTATTTGCGAGGTTATGAGGTATTTAAAGATTGTTAATTTTTGTGAAACTAATATCAACGTAATCAAACCGTAAGTTTGATTATTGAGTTAGGAATGTTAGTAAAGCGTAAAAAATAAGGGTGGTAAGTGTTTTCGTCAATAACGATTTATTGACGTAACGAATTATTAGTATTCGAATGACTAAGAGATAGAACGATCACTGACGGCGTAATCTTCCTTTCCTCGCGACCACAGAGTACTTGGGTATATACTAAAACTGGTCAGTACGCGTTGGGCCGCCGCGACAGCAGTGACTTTTAGCGGAGACAATCTGCCGCCAAAACAAGTGTCGTGTATAGCTACGATCTCTTGGAATTCACTAGCCGTGAGTGTTCTTGCTTTCTTTTTGCCTGTTTAATGTTAGTTGTCAATAGTTTTTATTTATCGTTTCCTAAAATAGTTAACAAGCTTAATTTTAGCGTAAATCTTAATCTAATTTTGTATTACAAAAATTATGAACGTTTTTAAAAAAATCAAAAAATTTACTTGATCAATAAAATCAGGTAGGCCAGATAACGAATGAAAGACATTAAAAATAAAAAGCGCCACAGAAAATTAAAATGATGAACACAGTTTTAAATGTTCAAATTTAAGATCGTCGTTTTTGACTTTCACGCGAAATTCTCATATTCAAAGCAATGCAGTCAAAGATATAAATATCGGATATGTGTTCATCATTCTTTTGATTTATCCATCGTAAGTGGGTTCAGCACTATCATGATTTTAGAACACACAAATACTTTACCTGTGTAGGAATCGAACCCACTACTCCCGTCGCCGAAGACAATAACCGGCGTATTCTTACGCAGTAGTTAAGCACTTGTCTTTTTCATCACTATTAGGGGATCTATTTCCATATGAGGCAAATATGTTTTAAGCCTATAAATGTGTTCAGTCAGGATGCTTTCTCAGGATGTGTAGTTTCTGCTTTTTGATAAACATGTCATATCGCTATTTGTTAATGAAATCACTGCTTGTCTTCAAATAGTTAATCTAATCAGAAGAATGACTAGCAAACACCCTTATCATGTAATTTTTTGAATATCTTTTACAATTTATGCTAAATAAATATACATATAGTATAATAGAATGGCAATCTAAAGTGTGCAATCCACTTTGATATAATAAAATAAAAAATGTTTAGAAATGAAACTATTTTTACGGATTTATGAAGTTTATTGTTAATTTTATTTCCCGACGTTTCGAAATCTTTTCAGGGTTCACGATTTTTCCGTGACCATGTGATATATCCGTAAAGATAGTTTCATTTATAATCTGTAATCGCGTAATACAAAAAAACAAATGTTTGTTGTGTATACATATATATGTTCTAATGCAAATGGTGATCATAAAAACTTTATTTTAGATAATTAAACGTGTAGATAATTAAATATAACTACTATAATAAAGTTTTAGATAGTCCAGCCTTTTGACGTTTTCTCTTCATGTCATTTGGTTATACAAAATACTGAAATTTCAAAAGCAAATCAATCTCGTGGTAGATTTTATTTTGGCAAAAAATAGTTTTTACTACTTTTTTTTTAAATATAGGATAGAATAGTGGCAAAAATTATTATGAATAAAATATAAAGAGCTACTTTTTACTCTTTTAGATTATTCAAATTGATGTAAAAAAAAAAAATTAAAAATAATAATAATAAAATTTATGATTTGCGCCAAAGATCAACTATGAGTTTAATAGAAAAATCTGTTCATCGCTGCCAGTAATTGAACCCGTGTCTTCGAAGTAACACGCCCTAACGCACTAGCTTACTGAGCTAACGAAGCGACTAACATTTCTATTAACCTCACATTTAGATTAAAAAAAGAAGAAAGTTGTTTCTCTTTAAGTATACATACAAATATGAATTATTATTAGTTTATAATAATGATCCGATATCGCGTTTTGGCTACTCTCACTGTTTTATATTTGTTACGTGCGATTATTTATGTGCAATGTAACTCGAATAAATAACATAATATACGAACAGTATCAAAAATGCTAAACGAGTCCGTATAAATGATAGCTGCTTTCTTCTCTCCTTTTAAATGGAGATTTGGTGTTATTTAACATCGAGCGATGGTTTTCAGTATACACATATGCTATCGTATTGATTAGATGCGCAGAGCACTACACATTTTGTGTCGGAGAGCGTATATAATGTATGTTATATACGAACAATCCACCGTAATCTTCTGAAATAGATCTGATAGTGTCTGTCGCATATATCTATTCTATCGGATTCGCGGGACAGTAACTTTTGAGTGATCTTATTTTAGGGTGCGATATTTTCATGTACAGTATAGCGCATGTTTTGTCGCCTTGCCTTCGAATAAGATCGCCAAGGTTCATTTACGGTTTTCGATAGAGACATTTCATAATCATATTTAGCAAATCATAATTATATCTTTATGTTACTATATAGGTATGTAACTGGGCTAACTGAACACTTGGTTAATCCGAATTAAAAAAAATATTGACAATCTCTTTGGCAAACGATACAACTTAACCAATTTTATCGCGCTCATTTATGTTCCAGGATATTGTTCTAATTTAAAGAGAAAGTCGATAGCGACCGAGCGGTTCAGCATTGCATTGCATTATACGTAGCACACTGAATAAAACTCCAAGCAACCTGGCAATAATATTATTATAAGCTGTTGGAACTGTATAAGACGTTAGTTACCACTTTTTCACAACTGGGCAAACGGCTTCGCCGTGCAGAGGGTGATGAGACATAGACCACCACTGGCGTGATAGCTCAGTGTCCGGGCGCTCGCCTTTAATTTAATACACTCGAGCAACCTGAGTTCGATCTCCGGTGCCGGCACCAATGAAGTTTTTAATTTTAAGTGCTGACTTATCACGTGCTCCGCGGTGAAGGAAAACATCGTGAGGAAACCTGCATATTTTCTAAATAATAAAAAAAAATATTTCGAAGATATGTCAATCCGCAGTGGGGCCGCGTGGTGGACTATGCCCTGATACCCTCTGTATAGAGGAGGCCGTTGCCCAGCAGTGGGACATGTATAGGCTGTTACTTTACTTTTTTACTTTTATATTTTTATTATTTAGACGACGCCATTGGCTTTGTGGATAGTGGCCTGCCTCTTGCGGAGGGTGCAGAGGGTGCGGGTTCGATCCCTACTACTGGAAAAATTATTTTATATTGAACATAGTTTTTCCAGTGTCTGGGTGTTTATATATCTATGTATTTGTTTACAAAATTAAAGTACTAATTTTGTTAAACTTTAAGTATGTTAATCAGTTTTCTAGTAATTCTTTGCTTAAGTTTGGACTAAACGTTGTGTAAAAACATGTCCCGAAATATTTATTATTACGAAAGCATTCAGGGTGCAGGTCTCCTCTTGTTTTGCCTCATCGTCGTCTTCTAGAGGACGCGCTCGGGGAAATTCCCGTGAGTCGCAATTAATAAACGGATGCGGTGAAGTGGGCCGTTTTGCCTCACTTTCACCTTACGCAACGCGCACGCGGCAACCACGCCACGCGGCTGTTGTGACGCAGAGTGCTGCATCATAGTTGGCAATGGGGGACGCTATCGTAATGCTTATGACATTAGCTGGTCCTTCGGCTTCTTTAACTTGCGGTTAAAGAGTCTTTAGTTTAAAGTGAACGCACATAACCTAATTCTGTACATCAGAGGCATACAGTTGTAACTCCATATTTGTCAAAATTATTTTTCTTACAGCATTAAAATCGCAAGAATTCTACGCAATAGTATAAAGCATTAAGTCCTACGACCCCTAATGAATATAATATCCAATCGTATATGACATCATAATCAATAATGCATTCAAGGATTCACTAACGAATTTTTGCCTCTCCTGTTAAATTCGTGTTTTTTCACACTATGCTGTTTACCTCCTTATTTACCATCCCGGTAGGAAACTCCCACACCTCTAAGGTACAGAACTGTCCATGAAAATAGCGAATGGCTTAGTCCGTCCGTAAGCGTCTGAAATGTTCGTTCAGAAAACAAACAAACACGCTTTGTAATTCATGATGTTGCAGTGAGAACAAAAAATTAGCCTTTATAATATTGTGCTATTTATAATATAACATGGGAATGATAAATGCTAAACACGTTTTAATCTGCAAGTGCTGAACCTCGACGATATATTGGTGGATTGTACGATTATATTAAAACAAAAAAAAAATCTACATTACTGACATCATTATACTTACTTGATTATATATGACAATAAAAAGATAAAATAGAAACATGCAATCGTAGCAAATAAAATAAGAAGTGGAAATTATAACAGGTATAGTATACGAAAAGATGAAAAAACATTTGTTGGGGGGCTGTAAAATGAAACGCGATTTTTGTTATTTTTTGCATTATACGGTATACCAAATTACTGATATGATACATACATTATTTATATTATTACTTATATTAGAATCTTTTTCAGGATGCTTGGGACTATTTGCGAAACGTATAATTTTACATTTAGGTCGTAGAAGAGTATTGTGGTCTAGTCAAGTCATATAGCTACTGTTATTATGTTCTTAATACCGCTTTTGAATTCCGGCATCGTACGGCGACATTGAATAATCGGGCGTTACGTGATCGAAATTGTTACTTAACCGAATAGGTGTCGAACATTCCTTTCATGGTCACGCTTCGCTGTTATCATTTCAGATAGAAATCAGAGTAAAAATATTTAAATAAAACAATGCCTAATTATATGTGATTATGCATAATGTTGTTATTTAAAGGTATTTCGAAAGTGGGTTTTTCATGGAAGAAGATGGCTAGCGAGCAGGCGTTTCACGTGATGTTAAGTGATAACCGCCGCCGGTTACAAATACGTTACCACCTTTCAATAAAGTGGGCCCAAGTTATCTCACTCACCAAACATAACTCAGAAGTATACAGCGTGTCGTTACCATCGTGACAATAAATGAACACACATATAGGGGATAACTTTTTAAAGTTGTATTAAACATTTAAATTCTTTAAACATCAATATTTACAGAGTTATTCAATTTTCCAAAACAAAGAATTTTAGAACACCCTTACCTATAAAAGCGTAACGTAAAGTTCATTTGTAAAGGTCACAAAGCATATGAATAGGTTGAATGAATTTAAAAGAGACAAAACATACTGTTAGAAGGAGAGGCTTGTAATACGACGCTGTGGCGCGAGTTGTATAGGATGTTACAAATTTTGTTCCTTTTTTACTTAATTAGTTTGTTTGAAAAATATTTTTTTTTAATTATGGATTTTGTTTAACGTTAATATTTTCTTATGATTATTGGCAAGTAGCGTTATTCGTGTGTTCATTTATTGTCGCGATGGTAACGACACGCTGTATATAACACTTCCAATTCACGACGGTCTTCCGTGAGGTCGTGGTGCTTGCCCGGACGGACCTGCACTCTCTAGCAATAGAGAAGACTGCAGTATGGCCCTACAACAGTTTCTCCTACGGCTTCAAATGCATAGGTTACGAAATAAAAAAGGGTAAATACCAAGTTTAAGCTTTAATGTGGCCAGCATACCCTCCTCCAGCATAACCTTCTATCTAAATTTTAAACACGTTCACACTTTTTTATTTATAATATGTTTTTATTTTTATTTATATTTATAGTGCAAATATATCTGAGTGGGATACTACTTTTAATACTTAAAAAAATTATAATATGAACAATCTATTCTATGTATATATAAGAGATTTCCTCCGATAATTGACTCATCACGATATCTCTGGAACCGTAAGGCGTAGAGACTTGAAATTTGGTAGGAAAATTCCTTTCGCCGAGTAGAGGTCAGCTAAGAACGGATTTTACGAAATGTTACCTGTTGGGTCTGCTAGTTACATATAAAACGAGATTTATTAGTACATTCGCGGCGTCTCTTTTTCTGAAAAAGCTGAAAATATGCTCCAAACATTTTGACATTAATTTTAGTAAGATGTACGATTATAAATATCTATGGCATATATTTATAATCGTACATCTTACTAGGTACTTGCCTCTTCCTTTCCTAACTAAATCGACAAATGGTGATTTAAAATGCTGTTAACGTCCCTGTGAATTTAGCCATAATGCTTTTGAGATAGCTCCATGTTAATTTCTTGTATTCACGCGATTGCACTTTATGAAATGAAACGATGTTTACGGATTTATGCTTTTATTTTAGTTCTCCAGGTTTTGAACCCTTTTCAGCGTTCATGGTCACGGGAAATAGTCCCGTGCTGTCCTGTCATCAGTTTTTAAAAGTAGTGAACTAAAAATAAAACTAAACGCGATAAATCAGTAATAATAGTTTCATTTTGCTCCACGTTGTTTAATAACAACATGCCGCAGATGGCGCTGTTGTGCTACATGTGGGTGGGACTGCTGAGCTTGGGCTTCGTCAACTCTGAGAACACGACGCTGGTGGAGGAAACGTGCCACCAGGAGCCGTGGCAACCGGGCCCGTGGGGCGCTCTGTTGGAGGACTGGGCCACGTCTGAACCCGTCTACTCCGAAAGGCATGGTGTGTTCATCTTACTTAAAGTTAAATCATTTTATTTCTGCGTCTTATTCAGACAGTCCTCGTACATTTGTATACGGTTGCCACCTGTTTAAAAATATATATCACATTCTTCAAGTAGAGAAAAAAAGCAAGTATAAATAATATTTTAAAATTTGATTTATTGATGAATATCATTGAAGATATATTATTTTTCTATGCTTCTAGCACACGCTCACTTTTATTGGGATAAAAATATTTTTATTAAATCGTACAATATTATTTATAGCAAAAGCTTCTAAGTTGAAAGTGTTCTGTTTCATCTTAAAAGTATCGATAAAAGTTCAGTAATTATACATTTATACTTATATTTAAATTTAAAATAAAACAAATACTACAACTCATATACTTATGTATTTAGTATTGTAGTATTTGTTTTATTTTAAACATCACAGTAAATATTGTAAGTAGAGTATTTTCACATACTTTATTTTTGCAAAAATATAAAGTATATTTACAGTACAGAATTTCTAGATGAGAGTCTACTTTTGTTTAGTGATTTGACATTTTAATTAAATTACTTAACAAGCGAAATAATGAAATAATGAAATACATTTTAAAATACATTAGTGTTTGAACTGTCTTAAAGACACTAGAATTACCGTGGCCAGGTCGCATCATGGCGTTGCCGCCAACAAAGGGCTACTACGTGACGGAGCGAATAGACGGGCCCCTGACGCCGCCACCGCCACCGCCAGGGCCCCCAGACAACTACCCGCCGCCCGGGCGACCAGGGCCGCCTGGTCCGCCAGGTCCGCCGCCGCCAGGCCCGAAGCCACCCGGACCTGGTGGTCCTCCAGGGCCCATGCGCACTCCCCTCGCGCCGCACAACTACAACGAGTGGTCGCCGCCCAGCGGTGGCAAGATCGTCAACAGACCCAACTCCTACGACACGTTCAGACCGAGCTACGTTAGTATTTTATGGTTTTATCTATGTATATACAAAGAAAGCAATGTAAAGCCTAAAAAATGGTATAAGAAAAAAAAATATTACATGCCATGCCTTACACATGCTTTCCTCTGTTGCACGAAGTAGCAAGTCCGTTCGAGTGACTAGCACGATCTACAAAACAAAATTCAGTTTCGTCCGATGAGTGAGGTAGCCGGGGCCCATTTTATTAAAAGGTGGCAACCCTACGGGTGTTGTAAATATCAATGGGCGGCAGTTATCAGTTAACATCAGGTGAAACGCCAGCTCTTTTGCCACCTTCTCCCGTTAAATAAAAATAGTAAAAAGTTTTGGCCAAATTTTAATTTAATTCAATATTTTCTTTTTATTTTATACCCGTTTCAAATTTTATAACCTCCGCAATCCAACATTTGTCCAAGAATGAATCTCATAGCATATTCTAACCGAACAACGTATTATATAGCCCTTTATAATTTAAAAAGTCGTAGCATGACAGCGTCCAGATCAAACAGTTCTCACTCGTCGCTGGATGTGGCCCACAGCCGATGGCAGGGCACCGCCCTCCTCGTCCGGCGGCGGACCGCGTGGACGAGCCGCCGCGCAAGCAGGTCTCCGAGACCGACCTCTACCTGCTCGGCGCCATCGAGAAGCTGGTCTACCGCGTCGACCTCATGGAGAAGAGGCTGCGCCGCATGGAGGAGAACGTGCACTACTTGGTGGCCGGCGCTGACGCCGAACCGGGTGAGCGAACACTTTGTCACAGTCACTATGTACGCAGTATACATTACTCGATATGTACGGAGTTAAGAAGACGGGACAGCAAAGAGGATGAATGATGCATGTGCCAGAGATGGATGCCTGTTATGACTAAAAGGGATAAGATCCGGAATCAGTATATTAGTGAGAATTTTATAGTGGCACTAATGACTGAAAAATAAGTAGATTGACATGATATGGAACGTTATATCAAAATGGAGGATGTAAAGCTAAAAGAAGACCACGAGCGAGTATTGAGGCGACGGCTGATAGAGAAAAGTGGAAGGAAACAGAAATATGTGCCGAACCCGGGAAAAGGGCAGTAAAAAAAGGCATTAGGGGTTTAGAACGAAATTGTTTCAACTTACTATCTAATGTGTGTTTTAGTCTAGGTTAAACGCTCACAGCGTCGGTTAAAATGTGTGAGATCAATGATCAAACGCATTTTTGTTGGATTGAATTGACCGTTTGTCCCAGAGCCGTGCCCGGGCAACTTCAGCCGCACCGGCGCCGGCTGCTTCCACTGGTCAGCCGAGGCGCTGGACTGGAAGGGGGCCAACCTCGCCTGCCGCAGGCTCAAGGCGGTGCTGCTCGAGCTGCCGGAGCCCAACGGCAAGCGGCAGCTGGTCTCCGCCATCCTCGCCGACAAAGAGCGCAAGGGTATGTGGCCTATCCGTTATATTTAGAATACTTCAAGCTCGTATCGGGTTGGCTTTTCCGTATTAGTGATTGCCTTACGGTGATTGTTTTGGAAATATCATCAGTTCATCAGATGAAAATGTTTCGATCGGAACGTGTCCCATACGCAACGAAGATAAAGAAGGTTTTAATTCCAAGGCGATTATGTTCATAGATGTATAAACGTCTCAGGTTAGGTTTAGTAGAAGCAGTTTTTATTGCGATGATTGACCGCATGAAAAGCTTTCTTGCATTAGGTATTGTGGTTTAAACGGTCAAAAATTTGTACTTTGTGGATTTATTTGTCATTTTCAAGTTTGTCTGTCGGTGAAAGTTGGCCTCCTATTGATGAAACGGCGGGTTTTTATTTTTATGTGTGAAAGTGACACGCTGACAGTTTGACTGATGTTATGTGACAACCGCCACATATGGACATTTGTTACACCCAAAGGTTTGAATTAAGTGGGCCCCGATTACGCAAAACGCAGAAGTTTCTACCAGCTCTCTTATCTTTACGACAGCCCTCAATATTCGTGCATTGCATGTTGCCAGGTATAGTAAAGCCATTGTTGATAGCTGAATCACAGGCGAAGAGGCATCCCTGCTCTGCCGTTATCATGATTGCTATTGTAACCAGGAATAGCAGAGTTGGTAGAGTCTGAGAGCCCTTGAGTTTTATTTATGCTGGGGGAGGAGTCTGCCATGATTAACACCGGTTGACAATGGGAGTTTTACAGAAACCACCTTTATCGCTACTGACCGCTATTACCCTATATTTAGGACTGATTGATCGAGATTGTTATATCGCCATTTATCAAATGTAACTAGATGTTTATGTCACGCCCGGGTCGCCTTTCTTCTCTGTGGGCGAAATGGGAGGCAAATTTTTCCGAAATCAGAAATCAAAAACTCAGTCTTTACTTTTAATGGTGTGCGGCGCTTCGTCAGTCGGGGCGCCATTTAAAATGCAAACATTTTCGATATTCTCCGACTGAGGGTCGGGTCACTGTCGAAGTGGGCGTAAACTCCGACGTGCTGCGTTATCGACAACGTCTGTTGCAGGCAACGACTTCTGGACGGGCGGGCTGAACCCGGGGCTGCTGTGGATCTGGGCGCACTCGGCGCGGCCCGTGGAGGGCAACAGCTCCAGCGAGGCCAGCGGCGCCAGCGCCATCCCGGGCGAGGGCCGCTGCCTGGCGCTGGTGCAGGACGCGGCCCTCGGCGCCTACCGGCTGCGCGGCCGCGACTGCGCGCTGCGACACCGCTTCGTGTGCCAGAAGGAGGAGGACAAGGAGAAGCTCGCCAACGAGATAGAGCGGGCGGCCAGGAAGCTCAAATCCATCGAGGGTACTGCGGGCGGACGACGTTTAGACTAGATGTCCATACCGCGCGACTGCTAACTGTTTAGCTTTACATTATATGACATATACATGAGAATGTGACAAATGATATAGAACGTTTGCTACGCAAAGAGATGGCAGTCTATAGAATTGCAATATAATTACATTAATTATTAGTCATTCATATGAGTGCCTCAATTTCGCCTGCTTTGGACGATTAGCAATTTCGACGATTCGTCAACTTTGCCGCGATATTAATGCAAGGCGCTATATTTCTGGACGTAAATACCGAGTCTACGAAATCGATCTAATTTGTAAGAAAATTTATGGTTTTTGTAATATTACATTTATCATTAGTTTACTAATAAATCAACATAACCAAATGGTAGTAGTCGTAGCCAAGACTGAGCTTGAAAGGGAGAAATAAAACAAAGTATCTTTTGTAATAGCTTATTATTCTAATATATTTACAGAGTTAGATAAGGATCACAACAAAATAACTTATTTAAAATAAATATTTTGATTGTTGTGGAGATGAACGCGACTTAAACGCAATTTCTAGCGCTTTTCTAGCGTCCATTTACAAAAGATGCGCGCGTACAAACAACTGCAGCCCTTAGGCAAGCCCTAATTTATTAACAAAATGGCACATAGCCCTTATTAAGCTCAGGTTTCAGTACATAAAAAATGCTTAATGTCGCTTGATCATATGGACCACAATTGCTTGTACGCGCTTGCAATATTTAATGAGAAATCTTGAACTAGTATAATCATGTCCAAAAGTACGCACGTGTGTGCATAGTTAATTTAATAGACTGGTCTGTTGTGGACACGGCGTAGTTTTGGGATGGAAGCCGACTTTTTACTAAAGTATTTAATATATTACCCAGCGATAAAAAGTTGCAGCCCACAGTTCGAATTCGAATCAATAACTCAAATAAATGTTTGTAAATGTAACCGTACAACACCATACAACATTCCAATGCGAAAAGCCAGCTTTACTAAGCAAAATGAAATATCGACGTGGGCTGGAACGAGGCGATTTTAATGAAAAACATTGTTTTGAATTATGATCAAGAGATGATACCCTGTCATTAAAATCACGTCGTCCGAGCCCTGAAGGCGAGAGAGAAATTTACAAAACAGGTTCATAATCAACGTGTAACTTTAAAATTACCACCTTGAACACTTCCCGAGACTAGTAGATTGTGATCATTACGCCGGTAAAATATTAAAATTTCTTTGTTGATACAAAATAAATTATATGCAAACCGCAAACGTGTTTTTTAATTTTTCTTTCGTGTTAATTTGACTAAGCGCATACGCAGTGAGAATAACGTTAAAACTCATCTATTTCGAAAAGTACAAACAAGACCACATAAGCAGAATGAAATGTAAACGTAAAAAATATGCTCAATTGAGTTGCGTTAACACCAAACAAAGTTATTATTTTATGATATAATAATTGGTAATGTTGTTTTGTATAATTCAAACGTTAAAATGTTAAATAAACGTTGAAATATGAATGATACATTATCTGTACTATTGTTTAAATGACAATTAAAATTTTCTTTTACGGTATTTATTTTTATTAATACGGGCCAAAAATCGAAAAAGAACGCTTCCAAATAAATCTGCCGCCAAATTGAGAACACAAATTACAAACGTAGGTATCACAGCACAAGCAAGAGAACAAACGTGTGACGCAACGCGACTAATCTACCAACGTACCAGCTAAATCGATAAACCAACCTATCAAGTATACCACGAAACTTTTATTAGTATGTACTTCGAAGACGTTTCCAATTAATTACCCTTAGATTTCTTTTTAATATTATTGTGTTTCATTGGGCGGATGTATGCAGAGATATTAAGTATGCGTGTCGCGAAATAACCTCAAAAAGATAAATAAAATGGCTCCGAAAAGTTATAACAACAATAATTAAGGTGTGATACTTTTTTAGGTCTACATAATATGCATTTTTTTGTACTTTTTACATGTAAAGTAAGTAAACTTTTTATGCATTTCATTGTTGTGATAGTGAATTGTTCAAAATTTGTAACAATGGTTCTATATTTATAAAAAAAATGGAATGTAACTATAACTATATCAGTTATCATGTTACATCATTAAAGCAAATGGAGGCACAATGGTTGTTGCGATATATATATATTTCATATAAATAACAAATTAAACTTTCATTGCAAAATTTCAGCACAGATTATATAATTAGTAATGAATATATGATAAGAGATTTAGCCAATTTCACGATCTGAAGTTTTTCTTTCTAGGTTTCATGAAAATTTACTTACATTTTCTGGCAACATACTTATTGCTTTTACAAATCATACTCAACGGGTGGGGCATTTAGGAAACTATCACAAAGTGAATGTCTACCGTCCATCCGTCTGTGGCAGTAGTTTGTTGATTTGACTTGCTGTTAGCATTATATTTTGGTAAGTTTAAAACTCTCTCTGTTTGTGTGTTTAATCATATAAATACATTAATTATGATTAAATTGTTTATTCTTGCTTCCTTTGTCTTGAGTTGCCTTTGTTCTAAAACCAATCAAATGGTGTTCTGAGAAGTGAAACACCCAGTAGTAAACGGACGGCAGATGTCACTTACTGAGAGTTGAATGGTCAGTTGAAGTGGAATTTAAACTGAAACGGGCTCCCGTGCTGGAAGTGGTGGAAGGGGCTGTGGAAGGGTGCTCCTCTTTGCGCCTCAGGGTCCAAGGGATCCGTGCCGGCGTCGAACTGCGCTCTCTTCTCTGCATCAGTCAGTACCTGAAAGGTGCCATCAAATATGAGTATTTCAAAGAACACTTACAATGATGCAATATATCCAGTTAGGGGAAAAGTATAAACCCTTGAATTTTTGTCCTTAATAGATTGTCCTACCCTAACAGACCAAGAACTACAATGAGAAATGGATCTCCACACAAAAATTGTGCATTTATTTGCCAGATGCGGCATGTGAAAACCAATGTTCGATTTAGTCACATGAAGAGAAATTAACATGATGGAAAAAGACTATTGCAGAAATTAAAATATTAATATAAATCTTTAAACTTCTAATATTATTAATACTAAAGATAAAAGTAAGAAAATTGTAGTAAAAATGGCAATATGACAATAAAATAGTATAGATATTCATTGATGTCGTAGAAGCAATGTGTGAGCAGCCAAGTTTACAGTTTAAATTCAAATTTATTTAGATTAAATTAATTAGTATGTAAGTAGATATGGCAGTTTTTTTTTTTAAATCCAAAGGAGTCTTAAACAAATCAATGCACAAGTCACCTCTTTAGCGGCTGCAATGTCAATGAACTTCTTTTCGGCAACCTTCTTGTCGTCTCCATGGAAGTTGTCCGGATGCCACTTCTGCGCCGCCTTGCGGTACGCCTTTATTATCTCCTGCTTGCTCGCAGTCCTATCAATATTCAAATATCAATAGTAACTCAAGCTATTGGAAGATAGGAAAATACACATTACACAGATGAGCAAAGCTCACCTCTTAACACCCAATATTTTGTAGTAATCCCTCTGCTCAGATTGCTTCTGAAGCTTCTGCGCTCTGCTGAGACCATCTTTGGCCCGTTGAAGACCTTCCTCTAGTTCTAAAGCTTCTTTGAATGACTGTATGGCTGTAATAATATACAAAAAAGTTTTATTAATTTTTTCATAAAAATATCAAAACATTCTTATATAAATAGATCAATAGATCAGATGATAGAGTTAGAGCTGGATAGCCTACACAAAACCAACGAGGAGCTAAAAGTCTACTCTACCACAGTTGCCAACTCGGGCCTTCACAGTTCCTGATTCCTGATACTAGCCATGTCTTTCAAAAATTATATGAAGCAGTGTATCCTTGTCATCCCTCAGAATCTACATTATAGGCTCTACAACAGTCCCATTCTGTATAGGTGCTCGTTAAACCTACAGTGCCCTGTGAAACCCTGTGGTTGGACCACGCACGAATGGGCAGGTCAGTCCGGGCAAGTACCACGTCCGCTTTACTTCTGTGTTTCATCTGGTGAGTGAGGCAAGCCCAGTAGGGTTTTGCAAATGTCAATGTCTGGCAGTTATCACTTAATATCAGGTGAAACGCTTACTAGCTTGACACAAAAAAAAACTGGAGGAATCATGAATGGAGGTGACAGTGAGAGAGAGAGAGAGAGAGAGACCGTCATCGAACATGTCGAGGCCGAGCAGCGCGTCAGCCCTGTCGCAGAGCACCCTGGCGTCCCTCTGCAGCGCCAACGCAGCCCCGCACGCCCCCACCGCCTCCGTGTACAGCTCCTCCTGCGGGGAGCATGCACATCAGTCTAGTTCAACTGCCATCTACCAACTACCTGGCTGTGACATATGTCATTTCCTGTGCATCACACACTGATCGATAGTTAGTAACTATGATGTAATGCTAAACGAAAAGGCAAACAATATGTATGGGACCTATTCATAAATAGGTTCTGCTCTTATCTGCTTTCTGTATACTGTGGTACACAGCGTGTCTTTATAATCGCGACAATAAATTAACACACATATAGAGGATAACTTTTTAAATTTGTATTAAACATTTACATTCTTTAAACATCAATATTTACCGAGTTATTAAATTTTCCAAAACAAAGAATTTTAGAACACCCCTATGTATAAAACTGTAACTTAAAGTTCATTTGTAAAAGTCACAAAGCATATGAATGGGTTAAATGAATTTAAAAGAGACAAAACATACTGTTAGAAGGATTTTTAATGCGACGCTGTGGTAACAAATGAAAAAGTGTCTGAATGTATGAATCAGTCAGTTGTAGTTGTACAAATTTTGTTTCTATTTTAACTAATTAGTTTGTTTGAAAAATGTTTTTTTTAATTATGGATTTTTTAACATTAATATTTTTTTATGATTATTGGCAAGTAGCATTAGACGTGTGTTCATTTATTGTCGCGATGGTAACGACATGCTGTATAGGGAACAAATATTTTCACTGCAAAATTATATCAAAATATGGACGAAAAGTAAGTGCAGGCATTAGTACTATAAAAATTTTAATTTCAAATAGAGACATCACTTGATCGAATTATCTTTGTAAAGTGATATTTGAATTTTTCTAGGAAGTTGAATCTTTCATCTTAAATGGAGAGATTAGTGTTATAAAAATTATATCTTATTAAAACAAATTGCATTCATTGATTATCAAAGAAAACTACAAATCAGTATACAGCCTAATACCCTATCTAATCAGTTCATATTACCTATCAGTATTTAAGATAAAATATATCATTGCTTCTTGATTTATCTAGAATTTTAAAAAGTTTAGTTTAACTATAGTAAATCCACAACAAGACAATTTTAAGATGATATTGCTAGTGTGCTTTATTTATGTATTTATAAAGTAGTTAACAATTTTTGTAAAATGGGCATTCATTACCATTATTAAGCAAAAGCATATCTTGAAAATATTTTTTTATATTTAACTAGCTGTGTCCGCGACTTCGTCCGCCTAAGTTACTCCTTATTACATCAGCTACCTGCCAGTGAAAGGCCCATCCAAATTGGTCCAGCCATTTCAGAGATTAGCCGGAACAGACAGACAGACGAAAATTTTAAAAAATGTTATTTTGATATATGTACCGTGTATACATCCATATGCATTTAGTAAACTGCGGTTATTTTAATATTACAAACAGACACTACAATTTTATTTATCTGTATAGATTAATAAACCTTTACATTAATTTCAAGTTATAAAAACACTATAGTTTACTTTGCAAATTGCAGCAAAGACAAAAAATAGAGTGATTCTCATAGAGATATAACTAACCTTAGCGTAACAGCTGCAAAGCCACTTCTTAGCTTCAAACACAACAAGAGTTACTTCCTCCTCTATCTTGAGCACTTTGTTTGCGTTTTCTATGCATCTGGTAAAGTCACGGGATTCACTGTACTGCTCACAGTCCAGTAGTAATTTGTCCACTTTTTTCACTTTCTTATAAAATGGGAAACATTTTTTGTGCTCCGGATCCAGTTTCAAACATTCACGGATTTCCTAAAACAATTCCAATATTAAATATTAAACACCAGTCTTTGTAAGTGATTAATTATGGAGAATCTCTTAATCTGTTAAATACAAAACTACCGCTAAACTCAAGAGACATTGCTAGTACTTGATTAATATTATTTCATTTTGAATTCATTCTAATAAATACTAAATAAGAGACAATATTTCGACTCACATGCACAAGGCACACATAGTTACGCTATAATTACAAGTTCTATTGAGTTATTACAGTAGCCTGTAACACTAGATTGTCAGATAGAACACAGTTTAGTGTAATAGTTTACAGTGTCATAACTAAATAAACTTGATTTAGTAATCTTGACAAGCATTATTAAAAATTATATAAAGGCTGTTTGTAGATATACCTTTAGAGAATCGCTGACATGTCCCAGCTGGTAGAGAAGAGTGGCGAGCCGATAGTAGCCATCGGTCGAGTCCTGCTGCAGCCTGTTCACGGAGCGGATGTCCGACACGGCCGAGAAAAGGTCGTTCTGTAGCGACAAGCGATTTTGGTGTTAATATCACCTCACATTACTAGATAGTAATTGCAATGAGAAAGGGTTGACTCTTTTAAATTAGGCTCGGTAGGCACGAGGTTGTATATTTATATTGTATTTTGTGTGGCGACCTAGAAAGATCTATTGTAGACTTCCCCTCAAAAATATTGGCCTATTGTAAGGATATTTAACACAATAACAATGGTAGGGCCATGCAACAATGTACACTGTTGCAAGAATGGGCAGGTCCGTCTAGGTAAGTATCATGACCAAGAAGAGTGGCGTAAGGTAGGAGTGTTACACTTCTGCATTTCTTTTCGTCTGGTGAGTGAGGTAGCGTGGACTGTATTTAAAGGTGGCAACACATTAGCAATGTCCATGGGCAGCGGTTATCATTTAACATCAGGTGAACCGCTAGCTCTTTTGCCACTTTCTCACATAAAAAAATATACGTCAATTACACACAGACAAACACGCAGTCAGACAAAAAGTAAAGCCCAGCGGGAGCACTAACCAGCGCGACGTAGCTCTCGGCCCTGAGCTGGCGCAGCGGCGCCGCCCAGGGCGAGAGCTCGAGCAGGCGCGAGGCCAGGTCGGCGGCGGCGCGGAAGTCTCCGCCGCGGTAGTACGCCTCGGCCAGCCGCAGCTCCTCGGCCAGCTCGTCCATGCGGTGGAACTGCGCGGCCGCCTCCGTGTTGTACGGGTCGCTGTACGTCTGCAACGCGGAACCACTTTCAGACACCATACCCGCTGTAAGCTACCGTTGGGGCTAATTCCTGACACTGATTACAATCGAAATGATTTTTACAATATCAATAGCAATCAAATTACATTTTATTAGCCGCGCAGACGCTAAGCGGTTGGCAGCGCCGCAGCCGCTTACTAGCCTGGTAATTATTATAATGCTATAAAATAATAATACACTCACAACTTGTAAATAATCCTCCTTTGCATCCCAGTACTTAGCTAGCTTGAGGTAGACATTTGCCCGATGCAAGCGAGCTGTTGTAAAATCTGGCTTTAGCTCCAACACCTAAAGCAATAGAACAAATAAAACACTGATATTTTTATACATATTGGTATTCAAGTGCATCATCAATTTGTAAGTAAAAAGGCTGGTAAAATTTTACATTAGGGTCCGAGCGTTTTCAATTAAACAAACATTATACTCGGAAAGATAAATCACTAATGAAATAATCAACAAGCAGAATTTGCTGGTCGCTTATAGTTTTCGGGAAAACAAAATATTTTCACTAAAGAAATCTGCCATTCATCGAAAGACGAATTCACACACTTATCTAAATGATAACTTCGCATTATTAAAAAGAGTCTTTAAAAATACCAAAAGTACTGTTGCACAAAATTTTCTGGGTGGGTATAAAAAAAATAACTACAAGGTCAATCTTTAAATTAAAAGAAATAATCTTAGCCAACTTCCTATATTTATTATGTTGGCAGTGCTGTGTATTCAGTTTTTGAAGTCAAATAAGTAAAATGATGAACTTTCTTAGTGAAATAAAGTTTTAAATAATTTTTTTTTCCAATGTTATAAGTGACTGAATGCTGCTTGTTGATTATTTCATTAATGATTTTCCTTTACTGAATAAAATTTTTGTTTGGTCGAAAAACGCCCCCGACGCTAATGGGAAGAAATACCAATATTCTTTCTCTGCTTACTTTAGTCTTTAAAAAAGCAAAATTACCATGAAAAAACTACATCTGCCTTTTTTTACTATCCTGATAGATTGGAAACAAATTTCATTGGTTACCAAAATGTGACAAAATTTTTTTTTCTGGTAAGGCTAGATGTCATAAGATATGATCCAATTTGTATATTGAATATTCTTAACCAAAAAGAAAAATATTTTCTTTAATATTTGTTACCTTAGTGAAGTCTTGCAGGGCAAACTTTGCTTTGCCCAATGCATAATATACTGTGCCACGTTTAAAATAGGTAAGGTAATTGCTTGGATCGCCCTCTGAAAAAGAAAATATTTTAACATGAACATAGCAGTGTCTCTTATCACTTGTTTGAAACATTTGATAAGATAACAATGAAACCATTTATTTATTTGCTGAATGGATTTATTAAGCTCAAATTATTGAAATATAAATCATAATTATGACAATGTAAAAGAAAATGAAATAACAATAGAATACTAAATACACTTTAAAACAGGCCAAGTTTGTGTTATAACTACATAGCCAAAGTAGGGCAAAAGATATAGAAAATGTAGAATATTTTTTTATTTTTACGCATGAAAGCTTATTGAGATCAATATGGTTAAATGAATTAAAATTATTATACCGTAAGCATCATTAATTCAAGAGGCATACTAACCAACAGCTGCATGGTAATGTGTCAAAGCATCAGATAGCTGTCCGCGAGCCAAGAAATCCCTGCCTAGCTCCAGGTGTTTGTTCACTTCAGCTTGCGTAGCGCACTCTGAAACTGTATAACGAAAATATTTCAAAACATTTATTATTAGTGCTATTTTCTTTTATAGCTCAGGAATCCTTTTACAAACTTACATTCTAAAAATATTTCTAGCACTAATAAAACAAGGCATGGCGTGACTTTGTTCCAATTAATATTCGATAAGTAGTCCATTATAATTCATTAATTTAAATACAACACTCCTAATTACAATTTATAACAATTCAGTTTCGATATAAACTAATTATTTGACAGAGCCACAATCCATCTTCCCTTCGTCTCTTTTCGTGGTCTGTTGTGATTGGTCCAAATCAGACAATTTAAAAATAATGATGGCAGAATATAAAATAATTGCATTAATAAAAGATGAAGACTAATAACTTTTTTATCATTAATGCATAAGGATTAAAGTAGTACCTAAGCACTTCAACGTTCATATCTCTTTTATTTATATTTATTTTTATTGCTTTTTTTTTGTAATGTACTTTCTTGCTCGACTTACAGCTTATCAACGTGTCGTAGATCCGATACAAATGAAATTAATATGTTCCATATTAATTTCATTTGTACTGGATCTGGGGCTCCGGAGATACTTAGGGAACTCCTGAAAATAAATTATGAAATTAATACAGTGCGAAATATTTGAAGTCGGTTTTGTTTTTCGTTACTAAAAAAATGGACTTGTTGCGTAGCGCAACGCCTAGATATTTGGCCTAGCTTTTCCACTGAACGTATTGACCTAATAATATAACGAGAGGGAGTTTTTTCTTTTGATTGTAGCCTTACTCTTCTCCGAGTTGACCTCAATCCACCACTTTCTGAACCATTTTCAGGCGTTTAGTGCAAATTGTAAGCGGATAAAATTCAATGTTTTGATGAATTCGCTTATAATTTTATTAAAATGTGGCAACGCATCTACAATCCTACGGGTGTTGTAAATGTCCATGGGAGGTGGTTACCTCTAAACATCATATGAATTACCAGCTTGCTTGCCACCTTTTCACATAAAGAAAAATAGGGATGTGTCGTCGGCGTATCCGATGACATGGTACTGGTTTGATTTTATCCAGCCTGTCTGGCACTTCTAACGAGTTTAACTTATAAAGGTACTTATGGCAGACTTTTTCGATAAATTCGCAATGACGAACAGAAGTAACACCACGCTATTGTCGTTCTGGGAGTCGTCGGAGTGACGATTAGAGATTAAGCACTCCGTATGACATTGCACTTGAAGAAAGTTCGAGTTTTGAAATTGTAAATGCGATAAAATTTTTCTTTGTAAAAAAAAAAATGTTTAAAAATTTCGTATAAAAAAATCTTATTGTGCTAACTAAAAGACCATGTGAGTAAATTAAGTCTTGGATTTCTGATTTAGTACAAAAATATTTTGATTGATACGAGTAGGTATTAATGTAGTTAATTCCATGTAGCAACACTGACTTTCTTTCACTTCAACAAATACAAGTGTCGGGTTAGTGTTTTGTATTTGTGAAATTTTACAAAATAATACTTTACAAATAAATGAAATAATATCAAAAAAATTAAGTGACGCTATATTTAAGACTATTATGATATATTTTTGTTATGGATTGGTTATGTTCGTTGAGATAAATCTAGATTAACATAGTCTTCAGATGTCAACATAACCTCCTCGGTCCAAGTTTCATTAAATTTCTAAAATTGTAGGAATGGCGGACGCACCGTCGACAGCTCCTAAGGCGAAAGCGCCTAAATCAAAGGCTCCAAAGGAGAAGGCCGCTAAGGCTGCTCCCGCGGCACCTGCTGAGCCACCAAAGGCGGTGCGCAAAGTAAACCCTAAACCGCGCCACGGCAGGCTTTATGCCAAAGCTGTTTTCACAGGATATAAACGTGGTCTTCGTAACCAACATGAAAACACAGCTCTTTTAAAGGTATGTATTGATCATGAACTTGAATATCCTTGTCACGGGACAAATAAAGTAATCAATCTTCAATACTTAGTACCAATCTTGTTTTCTTTTCTCACGTTATTTCTTTCGCGGAGAAGTCATTTCTAATCATATATATAAAGGAATCAAGCTTAATTTCCATTTCAATATATTTTTGGCTTGTATAAAACTTGCGAACTACGACAAGCAGACACTTTAGTAAGAAAACTTAGGTTAATCAACAAATTGATTTGAAGAGAACATTAATAATGTTTACAACCCTATTTTGAATGATGCCTATGACATTTGAAACCTGAACCAGCCTTGTGGTCAATTTTATTACTGATTTTTTTTAAACAATTCTAAGAGTAAATGCTTTGGTAAAACATTTTAGTAATTAATTAAACAACTAAATTACAGGTAGAGGGTGCTCGTAGCCGTGAGGATGCCATCTTCTATGCGGGCAAAAAATGTGTCTTTGTGTACAGGTACATTTATATTTTGTTTATTTAATGATTTTGAAATTATGTTTTTCAATATCATCATTGCAATATTAAGACAAAACTACCTTTTTTTTTCTACACTATTATTAGTAAGAAAAAAATTTCATTGTTTTATAAATATTTATAATTGTCTGTAATGGATAACTTGATAACTACTTAACCTATTTTAAAATCCTATCCCTTATGGAAACCTACATTATTCTGTCATAACATGAGCGATAATAGAGATAATATAGCACAAGATGTTAAAAAATTTCTTGTAAATGTTATTTGGAGTGTTTATATAAACTATTGGTGATACATAAAATATTTTAGTACATGTTTGCAATACTCATGATTACCTACAAAAATGTATACTGAATAGTCATTATTATTTGACATTTAGTAGCATATCAATGGCCAGAGAAGGTCTTGCATTATTGAGTCAAGTTCTTATTTCTTGTGTACACGTTCCTATCCTTTTAAATTGCTTTTACATTTTTCTGTTGAATAATATATTAATATTAAACGGCTGTAAGCTGTTCTAACTTAAATAGTGCAATTAGGATTTGTGAAAGGAAAGGTGTGGAAAACATTGAGGTTACTTAATTGTTTACGTAATGGATTCAAGAATGTAAAGGAAGGGCAGCATATCTACAGTGCATGATCATTTACGGTAACATATTGCTAATGATGTTTATTGCAAGACTTATGGTTATTTGTAGTTGCTATAAGTTGAAACATTATTTTTTGGCAGAGCGAAGAAAAGGACCCCCATAGCTGGTGGGCCCCGAGGCAAGAAGACAAAGCTGCGTGCCATCTGGGGCAAGGTGACCAGGCCGCACGGCAACTCGGGTGGGGTCAGGGCTCGCTTCAAGAATAATCTGCCCGCACACGCCATGGGACACAGGATACGCGTCGTTAGTTCTATTTTTCCTTATTATATTAAAACATTGCCCTTAATTTGGGATAAATTCCTTTTTTGTAAAAAAGTTTTACAAATATAATTTCACAAGGACAAGCATTCACATACGAAACTTGATGGATTTGTGGGTTACACAAATAGGTGTCCCGTATGGGAATCCAACCCATTACTTTTGCCGCCAAAACGTCTTTAATTTATTCTTTATCTATATCAAGGATGAGCAACACACGGCCCGCGGGCCGCTGGCGGCCCCACAAACATGTTTATGCGGCCCGCCAAGCATTTCTAAAATTGAATTTATTTTATCGAATTTCTCCTACCAATATACTGTTATAAAATTAATTATAATAAAATGGTAGTATATATTGAACCGAAATATTTTTTGTTCGTTTTTCTGTTCTTTTCTTGTTTGTTTTTACCTTTCATTAAAATTTGTATATGAAATCTTTACTTTTTTAAATTTTATATTTTTTTCATTTTATATTTTTTTATTCTAATATTAATATAAATAAAGTTTCGTAAATTATTATGTGCGTCCCGTCTGTTTTGGGGCCGCCCGATTACCGACCTTGCTAATATAACATTTTCTTTTGCGGCGAAATTTACCGTCATATTCGAATGATATTTTTCATTCCCTGAAAACAGGGATATAAGGACATTTTGTAAAAATGAAACCTAGCTAGATCGATTTTTCGCCCCCGAATCTACGCACATACTAAATTTCATGAAAAACGCTGGAGCCGTTTCTGAGATTCCGATTATATATATATATAAGAATTGCTCGTTTAAAGGATAAGATTAGAATAGTAATAGTAACATACAACGTTTAACTTATATTATTAATATTTTTTTTTACATTAATCCATTTATGGCTACCACTAAAGTTTGTACATAACACAATATTAAATAATATTTTGTTGGATAGGAAATTTTTCAAAATTCTAAAATCTGTTCTCCATATGCTGCTATTTTAAAAAGGCTAGAAATCAGTGTCAAGACACTGAACAAGTCCATTCTTGAACCGACTGAAATTTGTTAATCATTGATAGAAAGAACAAGAAAAGAAATACCTAGATTAAAAACATCTCGGTAGGCCACTGAACCTTTTTCTTATATATGTGAATCAAGTCTACATATTATAGAAGATTATATATCAAGATTACAATTCAGAAATATTGTTGTTATGAACTGTACATTTACTTATTTTTTGTTGTAACCAGGAGTTGTCACAAATATTGTGCAATTCTTCATATAGCTCATATTTAAATATAGACAGTCAAAAGACTATAAATAGGTACAAATGGTAGTTATTGAATAACCAGTTATTGTGCCCTCTAACTGTATAATCACTTGTTTCCAATTGCATATGTCCGGTGAATGAAGGACTTTCAGTCAATGAATTTTGCATGATTAATTTTTTCTCATTTCATATTGTATATATACATCAAAAAGTTTGAAGTTATTTTCCGTTTTTCATGCAAGAAATAGTGAAATTTGTTTATAGCTCGAAAGAAGTGTTAATTTTTCCGTCTTAAATTAAGTGAACTGTATTTAATATTCAAAAAATAACTTATTCAAATGATGTCAAGACATTTGAAACCTGAATTCCAATGTGGAAATAATTTTACTGATACGATTGCGGCTTTATTATGCAATTAATGCATTTGAGATTATTTTCAATGTATTGTGTTTGTTTCAGATGTTGTACCCGTCCAGGATCTAAGAACCTCCTGTTATATGCTAAGCCTAAAATAAAAAAACACTAAAAAAAACTATTCCACTCTTTTATTTATTATCTATCAACATCAGAACTTTTGATGATTTAATTAGAGCACCAACTTCCTTCGTTATCATTAGAGATTGAAGCTTTTATTGGCAAATGACTTCATGACATAATATTTCATTAAGTCATTTGCCAATACATATATTATATGTATACATTAATATTCTTTAAAATAAAAAAAAAATTCGGGAAAAAATTTAGTAAAATATTTATTAAAACATCAATTTTTTATAAAAACTAGTTGATATCCGTCTGGGTTTCTTATTAACAATGTATTGATAAACGTATATGTAAAAGAACAAGATATAAATTTAAATTTGACTTTCGCGAGTCTACGCCGCGAGTTTCTGCATCCGCCTTTTTACATTCCTCTAGGGGTAGGGAGCACAAGTCCACATGGGATTTTATTTATTTTATTTTATTTAATCTTTATTGCACAGAAAATTGTACAAAGGCGAGCTTAATGCATTCTCTACCAGCTAACCCTAGGTAGAACAGAAACAAAATGTCAAGGGCAGTAAAGTAGTTATATACGATACATAATTAAATAAATAATATGTAATAATTAGGTAATAAATCTAAAAACTGCCAACGTAAACATATATAAATATATATACATACATACAAACATATATAAATATACATACATACATATACATATAAATACATTTCAGATATTCATACATAGTAAGTACTATTAAGTAGCTAGCACTCGGCAAGGATATGCTCAGTTTTCTTTTAAAAATATTTTTTGTTGGCGATTGAGGTGATTTTTGTCGCATCTGTGACTCCTTTTGTACCTAACCTAATCCACTAAGAACCTCTAGATCAAACAAGGCTCCTTGGTATATAAATATGTGCAGTCACGAAAAAACCTATCAGTTTGAGTTAAAATATTAAAAATATAAAATTTGTAATCGTGTTTCGAAATCGATACAAACAAATTGGCCCATGTACGATTTTTCCTGTGCCTAATCGTATGTTAAATTTAAAACCGTAAGTATTTCCCGTTCATCTAAATTAGAAAATAATATGGTAATATTATTTATTAATTATTAATATTTGCAATGGCAGATAATACATGTGCATCTACTGGCAGTAGTGATATTATGTACCGACATGTAATTTAAAGTGAGAGTAAAGCTTTAAAAGTCGGTAAGTCTCGTAAGGAATGAAAGCGTAACATCAGTTTATAAAAAAAAATCACCATTTCTGGAAGGCTGTGAGTGACCTCCCCCAGCCGATGATATAAAAATGTTTTAAAAAAGTTTCTTTAATCCTTAATGAAGTCATTAAGCTTAAAACGTTGAGAAGAACAAAATTGCAGTTTTCTTTAATGAAAATAACGAGATTATTTTTTTTAGATTCTCGAAAACTATAAGTAACAAAGTTTTGTTTATATTAATTAATGAATTCTATCTATAGAATAAAATTCTTTATGATTGCAATATTAATTTCATTTATTCATTTCTGTAACATGTAAAAAAGAAATATTTATTTTGTTGTTCTATTTTTATTTAACTGCGTTACGTGTCACCTGGTAATTCGTTTCCAGGTACATTTGATACATCCTTAGCACCTCGTTGCTCTTAAGTTCAGTAACACTATCTGACCACAAAGTATTTCCGCTTCTGACCGCGTGCAAGCGCATGTATCTATTGACAGTAGATTTATAATGCTCTTATTTTAGACGTACCCATTTATCAATCAATTTACTGGCTAATGTTATGTAATGGGAATTGCCTTTAAATAAAAGCTGCATAACGAATTTTTACGGAGGGCGTTGCTAAATTTGTCGCAGTCTAGAATGCTACCGCGGACTCAACATAGTCAAGTAAAGTAGTGATTTATGAATTACAATAATATAGGACTTATTAGCAATATTATAGGCCAAGAGCAGTGATAGTGTCCGGGCGCTCGCCATTTATATACTCGAGCAACCTGAGTTCGATCCCCGGTGCCGGCACCAATGAAGTTTTTAACTTTAAGTGCTGACTTATCACGTGCTCCGCGGTGAAGGAAAACATCGTGACGTGTTGCTAATTTAAAAGACCTGCATATTTTCGAAATAATAACAAAAAAAAAAAATTTCGAAGATATGTGAAGTCCGCCACTTCGCAGTGGGGCCGCGTGGTGGACTATGCCCTGATACCCTCTGTATAGAGGAGGCCTTTGCCCAGCAGTGGGACATGTATATTACTATTTATTTTTTACTTTGTTTTAAAGTAAACTATGTTCAGTTCTGATTGGGAGCAGAAAAAATGTACTGCGCATTCAACGTTATCGAGATCCGACTTATATTGCAGCCATCCACAATAATTACTAAGAGCTTATAAAAATTATATAATCTATTTAAAAATAGCTGTGGTCCACCGCTTCGTTCATCAATTTCGATTTCAGTCAACTCATCTGTTTTGATTTATAAATAAAAATTGTAACTAACGACAGTGTATTGCTCATGATATATTTTATGTTCCCATGTATCGAACAGAACATTTTACGAGATAAAAACTAGCCTGTAAACTACACCGTAAGTACGAGAAAGAAACAATCGGAATTATCTATACTCTATAATATAGAGTCTATAGCAAACATTAGGAATATATGTCTCGCGCTTGTATAACAACTCAGTGACATTAGAGTGTTTTATTAATGTAAGAGTGAGAAATCTTGGTCTTTTTTCATCGCGCCCGGGTTCAAGGCGTGTGGACATCTACAAGCCTCGCAGCTCCCCTTGTAGAATGTTCCGCAACACCGCGGCACTCATTTCCACGTATGTATCGATTTCGCTAAGGAATGAGTAATCCTTTGTTGAAAGCAACGTTTTGCTTTGCGGGGATATATCTATATCCTTCTTTTTATTTGATTAATTGCCTCTCTTAATGGAATTCTGCCAATGTCATGTAAGTCATGGGCACGACAAGTATTAATTAAGTAAAAAAAGAAAGTAAACAAAGAATGATGTATTAAATAAAAAATACTAACTATTCCTCTATTTATGTTAATCTCACAACTTAGACGAATTTAATGACACCTCATAATTATGTTGAAATCCCGAAGACGTGGTGGCCCCACAGCGGCGACAATCTTTTCGTACTTTTTCTACATGTTTTTATGTTGAATCCGTCAAAAAGATTTGGACACAAAAAAGTAAAGCAACATAGCCTATACATATCCCACTGCTGGACAAAGGCCTTAGTATAGGAGGTATAAGGGCATAGTCCATTATGCAGCCTCTCTGTAGATTGGCGGACTTCAACATATTATCTTCGAAATTTTATTTTTATTAATATTTTGAAAATATGCAGGTTTCCTCACGACGTTTTCCATCACCGCTGAGCACGTGATAAGACACTTAAAATTAACAATTTCATTGGTGCCAGCACCGGGGATCGAACTCGAGTTGCTAGAGTATATAAAATTGAAGGCGAGCGCCCGGACACTGAGCTATCACGGCTCAGTGTACTGTAGAGAGCTCACGGCAGACTGTAGTGAGTGCTAAAGAATTGGACGGAGATACATAAATGTGTATCTACATAATTATGTATAATGAAAAAAACTTTGATAACCTGTTCTATATAGGAACCATTAAAACACGTGAGTATGCTTATAAAAATATTGTAAGCGCTTTTTTTTCCTTAAGTTGCAATGCAACGCGTGCCAGATGAAACCGGATAGTGCTTCGTGTAAATTACGTCTCACCATTTACTCTCACACACGGATGTTTCTTTTCGTTTGCCATCTAAAAGTTATTACTGGGGGTTTCACGGGTGAACGAAAGAAAATGTGCCCTTCATCCCTGCCGCGCGGGAAGTATTCAACCCTTAAGAATTGGTCAATCGTCCAAAAAAATTGTTATACTTTATGATATAACATATGAAGTACCTACATATTACATCCACATCAATGCGTCGATAGTAATATATCTGTCACAGCATAATATATAAATACTATATATTATAGCATTTGTATATTACTAAATATTTTACCTACTGTTTAATTGTATTATCATGAATTTAGTAGTACTCTCTGGTGTTTAAATAAATAAATAAAACAAAATAATGAAAGCGACTTCCTGTGTTATTTTGATTGAATATAATGGAAATGGCCATAGGCTGTGATGATCGCTTTTTATCAGTTGAGTCCCTTGACGTTTTCCATCTCTTCAAACTAAAAATAGAACCACACGATCACGTCCTATATAACAACTTTAATGTGAGTTATGAACATAATTTTACAATAAATTACATTAAGGTCCATTTACCGTGAATGCAAATGGCTAATTATAATAAAAATTGTTTAGTAATAACGTCTGCAGTGGCATCCTTCCGTCATGAGCCGGTCAAACCTTCCAACCAAAAAATATTTTGAAAATAAGTCCGCCAATCAGCAGTGGGGCCGCGTGGTGGACTATATTTTCTCGGGTTATGATATGAGAAAATCGGTTTTTACATTCATGACTGGACATTTTCTCATGAGCTCCGGAAGTAGTTCATAGTGTAAGCTATTTCCACTGCCTGCTACTCTTTTCCAAAGATCAAAAGAAGCGGGACCGTGTTTTCTACAGTCGAGCATTTAATTTGATTTGGTACGAAAGTTTTTCGAGGCTACATTTACGGGTCGATTGATTTAGGGACTTCACGCGGCGTTGCGCGTGACGATGCGTCACGTCACGTCGCCCGAGGCATCACGTCCAGATGATGTCATCGATGTTTATGACAGCTTTAATGCTATGAAATTATTAAGCATTGTCATAAAATTTATCGGAAAATTTCGTGGATTACATAGTGTCTAGTAATCTTTCGTTAGGAGTCAATATTAAAACAATTACGTAATTTTGCATGCGGCAGTACTGAATTCATGTCAGGTGAACCGCCCACACTTGCATGTTCTAATTGCCGCCCTGTCACAAAACGCCTAATCCTATTACTTTGATGGACAAAAAAATATTGATAGTTATTCACAATGTCACATTATCGTTGACTTATATAGCATGGCTTTTATGGTTTCATTTTCGACCTGGTTAGGAGGAGCATAATGAAGAACGCCTAACGTCTAATGCTATGAACGACAAATTTGATGCTATTGACTAAAGTAATTTATTGCTAAATGCTGTGTTAATCAAGATGGCGACCAAGCGTGGTAATTTTCTGATAAAGAACTATTGTAAATTCGAAAAGGCTATTAAACTTATAATAATATTTATTATAAGTTTAGTAGACGTAATTTATGATCCAACCATATCTGTAGTCCGAATGAATTTATCTGATGATTGTGTAAGACCTAATACCTCAATAAGGTCTCGCACACGGATGCCAACTTAGGAGTTTGCTTCCTAAATTAAGGAAGAAAAAATTTACAATCAAAGTTTTTTTGGAGGTAAAGTCAAACCAAAACCTCCTAAACGGATCTCATTTAAGAGGTTTTGGTTAGAATTTAGTGGATTTTAGCGGGTTTTTAAATTGCTTATTGAGGATTTTTTTGATCAGTTGCTAACACTGGTCTCAAAACCAAACTACGTTCCGCCTGCATGCTCATAATTCTAAAAATAATCATCACACGACGAGTTTTTATTCACAGAGGAGTCACTACGCACATATGGAGCAGCACATGTACTATGTAGAAAGGCTTTGGCTTCGATTACATTGCGAATGCCTTGTTGACAGAGACCTTACGAGGATTAAGTCAAGCTCTTGGATGCACTCTGTTTGCCCCTTCATAAAGTGGAATTACTAATTTGTTTATTTTGAATCATTGCAATGTTTTATCGCTTGCAATAAATGCGTCGTTATGATAAAATTATGTTTTTGAAAAGAACTTGGCTAGTGATTGTACGTTTGGTTTAAATGTTGGTAGGTGACTGCTGTCTCCCTGGATGTCTGGAATACAAAGTAGTGTATTTATTTCTACTAAGAACTGGTCTTATGTGAGGTTGTTATTAAGGTGTTATTCTTGGAGGGTTTACTTGTGACTATTGTAAGATTTTGAACTAATATCGTAATATCACTTACTTATAATAGCTAACCCGGCAAACGTTGCTTTGAAATATGATCGGGGTAAAAAAAAATTAAAATTCTATTAAAAAGTAGTGGTTCGTGGAAGGAAGGTAAAAATTTAGGGCTAAATGTATTTTTAATGCCACATCTTAAAAAAATAACCAAAAAAAAAAATTGTCCAATAAATAAAAATAAATTTTAGGGTGAGCCACCCTTAACACTTAGGGGTATAAAAATTAGTTGTAAATCTATTCTCATACCTACTGAATATACATATCAAATTTCATCAAACTCGGTCAAGGCGTTTCGGAGGAGTATAATAATATAAAAATAAAAATACTAAAACTGTGACAAGAATTTTATATATTAGATAATTCATTACTTTAAGTGGAGTACGGTATCGGTCTACTCATAAACCTACTTAATTTTATTTAGCACAGCTGGGCAAAGGCCCCACTCTTTTAAAATGCTACATCTGTTATAAACGTAGTTAAATTTGGCAATGATAGATTCGTATAAAACTTCGAGAACGCCGTTTAATTAATTTTCATTTAAGTTCTCAAGAAATAGCCTTGAACCAGCGCGGATTATAATTGAAACCGTTACGTAATAAATTACGCATCTGCGTTGCTCTGGGCACGGGAAATGTATTGTTCAATATTTCTATATTCGTTTCGTTGGGCTCTGAAAATTTAAATAAATCGCACGGAGCACACGTACCATTTAAAAGGTTGTATTCATTCATTTGTTCATTACAGTAGCAATTTGACACTTTATTGACACATGGCCATTGTTCTATTAATTTGTTTCTTTGACAAATTACGATCGCGGTCACTTACTGGCAATTATTTCATGGCGGATGAGAACGCTTTCAACCGTAAAACACGACGTGTCATATGGATCGCAAAAAATTTATAATTCACATAGAAGTGGGATGTTAATAATATATCGCGAACAACTGGAGATCCTTGTCAGCATCTCATTCTACCAGACGACCCATTCTCATTCTAACCGATTGACACAGCACACCGATAAGCGAAGGAGTCATCACTTAGAAGGAGTTACGATCCTCAGTAATGAGGGAACAATTAAGAAGAAGAAGAAGAAGTAGTTAGAGCCAAAATGTTATAGAGAAAACATCTCGAGGAAATGTTTTTGAAATAATAAAAAAAATGTTTCCAACATAAATGTGAGGTCTATGCACGAGTACTCTCTGTACAGAGAAGAACTTTGCCCAGCTGTGGGTCATATATAGTATAGGCTCACTTTGGCAATTTGTTTAAGTTTGCGAGATGGCGTTTGCGGTGGTTATCAAGCCAAGATCTATTGCTAGGGGTTTATGAGGCTTAATTCCTAATACCAATAGTACACCCCTTTTACTTTCTTAAACCCAACACAGTTTGCACTCTTTAAGTCACTTATTATTGGAAACTAGTTTTTACCCGTGACTACATTCATTCGTTTTGCAATGAAATAATTAACTTTCACGAGATCAAAATGTTATTAAATTTATGTTGCGACATGAACACAGAACAAACACCCAAACAAATTTTGCCCTTTACATCGTTATAAGAATTGGAAATTTACCCGTTTAAGATATAGGTTCGTTCAAATTGAAGTACTTAATTTGATAATATCATTGCCTTTGTATAAGTTCTAAATTCTTTCGAAACATTTACGAGAGTCAATATTTAGAGCCGATAAAGCCGCCAAGAGTATGATGGAGGTGGAATCTAGATTGAGTTTGCGTTGGAGAGTTGTTAGGAGCGAAAGTTTGGTGAAGGTGAGCCGTATGAGAGTTCACGCCCCCCTCACATCCCCTCCCCACCCCCGGGGCGCGTCGCCCCGTGCTCGTCGGTTGAACTTCAGGTCGTTAACACATGTGATATTCGATACATAAATATTCCCTTAAGAGCTAAACATTTGCGAAGATTTTTACGCACCAAAAGAAATGCTGGCATTGTGTGATTGCGCTTCGGCTTTTAATACAATTCGAACTTGGACGAACCATCGCCCAACTACGTCGCCTGTATAGAGATAAAGATAAACTTAGAAACAAATGTGGATACAGTCCCGATAATTCAACAATACATGTAAAATAATTCATCTAAGATTATCTTGTAGAGTTGAACCCCTAATTTGTAAAAACAGATTAACTTTAATAGTGAGGCGACGTGATATATACATGATGTACGTGCAATGGCAATATGCCAATAATGAATTAAAATATGTATATTATAAGCATAATTCCTTGAGAGTAACATTTATAAATGTTCAGTTAGGGTTTGTTTCAAACCATTAGATTAATATTTATCTATATATTAGACCTCTCTAATCATACGAAAAAGTTTAATTCATAAAAAGAAGACCTTGTCCTTACTAAGATGAACCTAGAGAAGGAGAGGAGAGGAGTTATTTCTCTAAAAACCCTAAAAACGTATTCGCGATAGAGATGTCAGCGGATTCATCGTAACTAAACTATAACCGGAACCATAAATTGAGAGTTATGTCGGAAACTAAATTAAATTGACAAGAATCCCCGTTTCTATTTGCAAATTTTTTCAGCGGCATTTTAGCGTATACGAACGACGACGGACGACGGGAGCTAAATATAGTATCAAGGAGGCGTCGAATGATCCAGATACCGCGAGATTGTCGAGGTACGTACGTAGCTCTCCAATTTGCCACCGTGTGGGCTCCCGTTGGAGTATTATTGGACTTGTTACGGCAGGTTATGGCCGTGATTCATGCCCCTTTGTAAATTTGCTGCAATCAACGGGCCAGAGTAACGGTCTAATCGTATTTCGACGGGAATTTACAAACTATAGGCATTTTCGATGCTGCATTTTACTTGCTTGCTGGGCTTGACACTTGGCGAGTAATTTTTGTTTCAGGACATATCAAATGGTAATACTCTTTGAGTAGAAATTTCGTCAATTTGTTGTATGTTTTGACAAGAGAAATTATAGGTATGGATTACAAATATATTCAGGAATGATCTTAATTACGATGATTTTAATTTCCCTTTGATTGTCAGGTACCTTTGATTTGTCAAGTCTGCTGATGTCTGGCATTATTAAAGTTTGAAGACGACAGCTTTTATTTTATTTTTTGTTATTTTTTTTTTTCGCAGTATCCTGTTATATTGTATATTTTACTTTGGAGTTCCGTATTCGTTAATTAGGTTAAAAAAACATACTACATTGCGTCGGAGCCGTAGTGACGCTCTGGAAGTCCTTTCATGATACTCTGATAAAAGTAAGATCGCGAAGAAAAGTTTTCTGTATTACATAATCCCATTGAGATATTTTTAAGAAATTGTGATGTTAATTATGAAGTTAGTTAAAATTTATGATCGGCCAGTTTGCTAAGTTATACCTGCGATATATTGCAGAAAGTTTAAATAAAATATCACTAGTACTGTTAAGGCCCATTTACATGGTGCCAGTTTCTTGCCTGTTGTATACAATTAAATTGAAGCAATAAATGAGTTGTATAGTCTAAACAACAAATGGTCTAACCAATTATTGCGCGCAATTTATTGCATTCAATTATTGCTCTTGTATGTACAAGAAAATGGCATCGTGTAAATGGGCCTTTAAGAATTGTTGTCGTTAAGGCGTTAACATTAAATATTTAAGTTGTGGTCTTAAAAAAAAATCATTTTACTATTTATTTATTTATTACTTATAGCCAGGTCATACGAAATTTCCCCGCAAGGGTCGTTTCGGTCATTTTATACAGAGAGATTTTTTGTGAAGTGCCCAAATTTACACAGGACGTTCAGACTCGGTAGTATAATTGTTTATTGAGATAAAAAACAAAGTTTTTTTTCCAAAAAAAAAATGCCTTTCTTTTCCGGTGTTGACAGTGCGGTAGCCATTTATAAATACCTAAATTTTACTGTGCATGAACTTGTATGCGTGTTAGTTATGAATGATCGCGCGTAAAATAAATGAGTTGCGTATAAATCACGCACTTTTTGAGATAAGTTCAAATGAATGTAATTAATTACTTAAGAGTGATTTTAAGTATTTATCATTTTTTATATACCATTAATTATGCCTAGAATTTAATAAAAAAAAAAGGATACACTTAGAAAAGCCGCCCTGTATATTTCTACTAAGGCTGTGATGGATTAGAGTAATGGCAATAAGCCCAATAGAATTTTTACTATAATACCAAACACTAATGTCCCTTTAAACGTTATTTTTTTTAATTAACTTGTTATTTACATTATGGTAAATTACGATTCAATTTCGCACCGTTCTTTTTCGTCAGAATTTCCTCCTTCATTACACGTGCACAAATAACCAAATCATTCCTTTCTCAATTTCCCTTACGTGATGTGTCAACAATAATGTACTTTTTACACCGTTTATCGTTGTAATATGCTGAGTATAGACAATTTGGGTATCTTTATGATTTATTCACGTTGTTGTTCGTAACGTCGCCATGTTGAATATCTTAATCTTTGAGGGCTGCCGATTTCGCTGATGGCATCGGTTTTCCCCTCATTACGCGATCGACAAAACAATTGTCGTGCCTCATTCGGGCGTTTGTTTAAATTGGCCGCAATTTATGGGTTTTCCATCTCATTTTCTGTTGGTTTCCGTTTGCAGATGTTACGAAATGACTTTGTTTTGACATTGATTATCATATTATAGCGAGGAGACGAAAAAAACAACATCAAATATTAGCTACTTGATTTGTTAGTTATTGTTTATTAACCTTCTAAAAATGAAATAGATACATATATAAGAGGCAGAAAGAGAGCAAATATAATGTGATGTGGCTTGTACGTACTTGTATCGTACCAAATTTTTTACCAAAAGTCCAACAATGTATGGTATGGATAACTCTCGGCAAGTCGAAATGTTTATCGGAGCAATAAATTCTTAAGTATTTCGAACATAACGGGGGTTGTAAAAGAGCTATAATTAAATTTTAGCTGCGTGACGGCGCTGGTGGGTTGCGGTCGTTGTTGCAGTAGTATAGGAGCGTCATATTCTGAGGGTGTGGGAGTTAGAATTGGAATCTAATGCAATGTTTAAATCTTCACATTCTCAAAGTGCCTAACGAGCAAAATATTCATTTGGTCATTTGTTTTTATGTAAGCAGATGGCGAGCGGGCTAGCGGTTCACCTGATGTTAAGCGGTGACCACCGCCTATGATCATTGGCAACACCCCTGTTGCAGATGCATAGACAACAATTAACAACCGACAATCAGACGAAATGCGAAAGTATAATACTCCCACTTCTGTGAGTTTCTGTGAGTACGTGATACTTCCCAGGATGGACCTGCACATTCGTGCAACATCGAACGGTTGCGTGGCTCTGCCACAGTCAAAAAACCTTTCATTATTAACTATCGGAAGAACTTTTAAGCGAATTATGTGGCAGTGTTATGCGTTACAGTTACGCGTCTGTTGAGTGACTTTATTAAAAGGTAGCTACGCATCAGCAACCCTACGGCCGTTGCAAACGTCCATGGGTGGCAGTAATCACTTAACATCAGGAGTACCGCTAGCTCGCTTGCCTAATTCTAACAAAAAAGTAAACAAATGAATAATAATTATTAATCTAAATATTTTGTTAACCCTTTTCATTTCAGCTACGCTAGACACAGAAACATTGCGATAATAATTTCGACTTAGGAATAACACTCAAAACTTTAAAATTGAGTAGGTGCAGTGGCCACGTGAGCAACAAGCCGAGCACGTTCATAAAACCCGCTTGTCTACAACAGGCGTTGTCAGAGGACCCCATGCATTTTAATTATAGACTGCGTGCACGAGAATGTCTCCTATTCATGAGCCGAAATTGCAAACGGTTAATCGATATTTTGTGTTTATGGATACAATTTTTTTGTTATATATAAATTTAAAAGATTAATGAATTTTTATTATTAGCGTTAGTAATTTCCGTTTACAATTTCGAATAAGCTCAGTTAACGGGTAAAGATGTTATTACTATAAGACGCCAGTAAGGTTTTAAAATAATTGTGTCTAGGCATTAACAAATAAAATGGCAAGGGCGTAAAGTGCTAATTTGTAGTCAATTCGGTTTAATTTCTAATAAAGAAGTAGATATACCATCGTTATATAAGAAGCGTCCAAATTTGTGAGAATGGGATAAAACTTTCATAAAGGTCAAGTTTTTCAGTTAAAGAGGCGAACGAAGTCGCAATATGAAGCTTGTCGCAATATCCTTTGGTACCTGCGTACGTGGAAACACAATAAAAGTTATATTGAGGGCAGCGAACGACGGCACTCAGTTTTATGAAAGTTCTTTGCTGTACTTAAACATCACGTATAAATAATATATGAAACGATATCAACGCAGAAGAAAGTACAAATACCGCTTTCGTGTTCGTGATACATATGAAGCCTCATGCCACAACATTGTAACCTTTACTAATTAGTTACTTCATATTTATACTTTAGTTAATTATTAAACATGTTTATAGGTTAAACCTCCATTGAACGACACAGGATAGCAAAATTTTGACCACAAAGAATAATTTTTTCATTTAAGCTTTTCTCATCCCATGATAGGCGGTAATTTCGTACTACTTGTCACCGGAAAGTGTTTTCTGATAGTGAAAGAGCTAAACAACATTTTTTAACGAAAAAATAAGAATTTTTAATTACTAAGAGACGAGAGAGGTAACGAGGGACAAATAGCAGAATGCTGGGCAATTAACTTCACAGTTCAGATAACTTGTCGCTGTTTGCGAATAGAACAATTGATAGCAGCTATATAACAGATCGATCAGAGAACATCACCCTTAAGTCTCCAAGAAAGATTTGGTTTGCACTAACCATAAATTGCACGATTTTACAGCTTCTAAATAAATTTTAGATGACGATAAACGCCCCTTTATGACATCCGTCATAAACGCTCTCAGCGAATACTAGTTGAAAATATCGAATAGAAGAAAATACGTCTTGTAAGTTTTCACAGACGATTTAGTGATGTCGACTGACCTGGAATTGACCCCTAAATGTGTTTATTAATAATTTATCTATAATTAAAAATTGGGTTCGAAGTGGCTTAGCAGTTAATCGATACTGTATTACAGTTGTTGGCTATCTATAGTAAGCTACAGTTAAATTACCTAAATTGTTCCGAAATCATCCCGAAAATGGTCCCGAAATGGTTTGTGGTGGGTCTATCGTAGAGTAGCAAATAAAATACCCCGCTTGTATTTTATTTTTGTATTTTTTTTTTTTTCATTAATGTGTTATGTCTTTTTATGTAGGACATTAAACATTATATTTCTTATTATTATTATTAACATATTTATTATATTATTATTATTTATATTTATTATTAACATATCGAATAGGCCCAAGCAAAGAGAATCAGATAACCTGAGCTTTTAAGTATTTCTTTAAGGAAAAGTTTATAGCATCCTTATGCAGTCAGTACAATTTATATTAGCTTGTATATCATTCAAAGGAATGTTGAAATACGAACTAAGACTGAATTGTTACAAAGCCGAGATGTGTATTGGTTTCAAATAAATTAAAAACAATGATAAACGATAAAAGTTTGAGAAGCGTGTACTTTCGTCGCAAATTAACAATGGCTGCCTCGGCACATCAACTAACGACTAAAGGTCGTTTACCTTTTCGTGCCCTTCTATATCTCGTTCATGAGTTTCCTTTAAGTGAAAAGCACTCCGAAGCGACGGGATTGAATTTTCAAATGCAGTTTTACAGCACAATAAAATTGAGCTTTGTAGTCTGTCGCATCCGAGTTTAAAAACTTTTAGTGTTTAAATTGAAAAGTTAAGGCTGTCTAACTGCTCGTATGTACAATGAGATTCACCGTATCATTACAAAGTTGGTATTACCCGGCATTTTTTGTTTGAATACAGAATATATGAACATACGAAGATAAAATTCAAAATACATTAGTACACAAATAATATTCACAATATTATTTGTATAATGTTTGTTACTGTTGTATAATGTTGTTGCATCTCAGAATTACTTTTACAAAAAACTTTTCTTACTTGTTATCAATTACATAAAAATTATTCTCTATTTTTTATTAATTTCTCACTAAAGTACATATCATATTGTGTGGCTTGCTTTGTAACTGAGACTCTTTGAAGCCCAGAGTTGCTCAGTGAGCTATGACGGATGGTCACTCCTCAGGGAGATAGAGTTCGCAGTGAAGATGTCCGCAGTAAAATAAAGGTTACAGGACATAGCCAGGATATTAGAAAGCTAGATGATATATATGGATGGTAAGACCAATGGGGAAGAAAGGTTCCCGAGTGCCAACCTCGTATTGGACACCGTAGTCTGTGACGTCACCTAGATGGACATGTGCAAATGTGCGGGAGGTCGATGGATGCAGGCAGACAGAATTGTGCTTCGCGGGTTGGCTTATGTCCAGCTGTGGACTAAAACAAATGAAATAATGATGATGGTGATTGGATAGTACATAAACTATACACTAATAGTATCTTATAATGTATAAACTGACTTCCTGCATTTACGCGAATACACGTGGATAAGTAAAATTATTTTACGGATTTGTAGTATTTTTTATAATCTTTTTTTTTATGTGAGAAGGTGGCAAACGAGCTGACGGTTAACCTGATGGTAAGTGATAACCCCCACTCTTGGAAGTTTGCAACCTGTAGGGTTGCAGATACGTTGCCGCTATACGAAACGCAGAAGTATAATACTTTTACATATCGCCGGTCTTCTATGAGGTCGTGGTCTTCTCGGAACGGACCTGCCTATTCGTGTATGGACACGTGGCCACGACAATGTGGCCCTACCACATTAAAAAAATGCTGTAAAGTGTTAGAAATTGGTGAATTTAAAAACAAAATAACACGCGCTAAATTCGTACCTTTATTTAATCAGAAATTACACACGATGAAATTGCATACATTAATTAAAAGTACCTGGAGGACCCGGTTTGTTTTTTTTTTGGTAAATCGTGTATTTTGGAAATTACATTTAGATAGAAATTACTAAGTAATGAAATATGCATAATATGTTTCGATCTTACTGACGTAATAATAAGAAAATATGAACTGGTGTGGTTCACAAAAGAAAGAACTTTAAAAAAAAGGCAAAAAAATAACAAAATAACAAATCGACAAAAAATAAAAGATAAAGAAAGCAATGATCTGGAATCGAAAAAAAAGTTAAAAAAAAGTGTGTAAAGAATCGTGATACGAACCACGGCCTTCTGTTTCGTGGTTGTTTGTTAGCGGCCGCCCGATTACCGACCGAGCTATCATAAATTTTTTTTTTCGGTGAAATTTACCGTCGTATTCGAATAATATTTTTAATTCCCTGAAAACTGGGATAAAAGGACATTTTCTAAAAATGAAACCTAGTCAGATCGATTTTTCGCCCCCGAATCTACGCACATACTAAATTTCATGAAAATCGCTGCAGCCGTTTCCGAGATTCCAATTATATATATATATATATATACAAGAATTGCTCGTTTAAAGGATAAGATAAAACAGATTTTATAGGTAAATAAAAAAAGGAAAAAGATTCTCTCCGAAAACAACTGCCAGGTAGCAACAATTATTCATTTATTAAGGACAGCTCTAGAGATTTGAGTCCAGTATACTCTTAGCTTCAGTACAGGTTTATAAAATATCTAATCTTAGCTCTGGTAACATTTATTTATATCCTAAATGAGGACTAATATATCTAAACATGTTTATAGATGGTAAATTTCTCGATAAGCCTAAACAAACGACTTTAGTATTAAATCAAATCACTGTATCGGACTACGTACAGTCTGAAGCTCGTAAAATGGATGAATGGGCTTCGGAGCCAAAGCAGAGGATACCACCGGTTTCATCCCTATTCAGTTCGCAGGTTTTAGTAAAAAATAATGTGAGGCATGGACATTATCGATGTGATTAGTTGAATGTATAATTTGTAAAAGGTAAGCTGAGGTTGGAATTAGTTCATATTTTTTTACAAAAGATGGCGTTAGTACAGTAATACGTTCGCACTGATAGTATTTTATCAATTGTGAATAAAATATCATTAGGTGAATTCGGTGTTATTGTTATTATTTTTTTCAATTGTGGAAATTTATTATGAACAAATGAAGTCTTATTGAACAAATGAAATATTCAATAACATTAGGTTTATTAAATTGAAACAAAGTTATGGAGTCATCTCAGCAAACTGTATGTAGAATAACTTTATTTTTTAATATTTTCTTCAGTGTAATCTATGCACTTAATAAGTAAAAAAAGTAAAGTAACAGCCTATACATGTCCCACTGCTGGTCAAAGGCCTCTTCTATAGAGAGGGTATCAGGGCATAGTCCACCACGCGGCCCCACTGCGGATTGGCGGACTTTACATATGTAGTATGTAAGATATCTTCGAAATATATATTTTTTGTTATTATTTCGAAAATATGCAGGTTTCCTCACGATGTTTTCCTTCACCGCGGAGCACGTGATAAGTCAGCACTTAAAATTAAAAACTTCATTGGTGCTGGCACCGGGGATCGAACTCAGGTTGCTCGAGTATATTGAATTAAAGGCGAGCGCCCGGACACTGAGTTATCACGGCTCTCTGATGCACTAAATATGAAGCTTTAAATTTGTAGATGCATTACCGAAAAATGTTTTCGCTGCAAGACTGATTCCAATCTGCATCTCCCGGCTTATGTGTCAGACGTCGAGGCACAGAATATTAAAATTAAAATTGTCCTGCATAAATGAACCAAATCATTCAAAAATGAATCAGGGGATGAAGTCGCGAGTAAACTAACCAACGGCGATATTCAGCCTCTTTTCATTATGAACTAACCGGTATTATCTAGTAAAGAAATGATTCCTAAAATTTTCTTTAATGCCACAAGGCAACATAATATAGTAAGTGCGCAACTAACTTTAAACATGCAAATGAACGGTCGCTTTACGAGAATCGTAGCCGCGTGCGGCTAGGGGAAATTCCGCTCTGCGGTGGCCCATTGAAAGTTCGAGCTTATGCTGAAACGGGGAGCTTTCGTAGAGCTTCAGTCGTAGCGAGCAGTCGCGCGGTGCGGTCGCCTCTACAGCGGAGCGGGTTGATTTGTCGCTCGTGTCAAGTTGTCTTGTTACTGGTGAGTAAATTGTTTTGATCATTTGCTTTTATTAGTACAAATGATGAGTACTAAAATGGTCGTAGTCAATTCGACTTGGAATTGTTTTTGTGTGTTTGTGTGTTTGTATTTTTGTGATGTGTTTTTATATTTTTGTTATCAACGGTGTCCGTTTTTATTTGCAATACGCGTGCATATGAATATGTACGAAGTATATATAAAACGAGTTTCCATGTAGATAAAATTGAAATGAAAACTTCTTTCTTCGTAGTTTCTTAGCTCCGACCTGTGTAGTTAATTAAACTAGGATAATTAAAACTTTATCCGGCGGAGGGCAAATCATAAAGTTTGTAAAGTAGTGAAATTAAATGAAACAAAAGTTATTTTAAAGAAAAATTATACGGTATTTTTCATGCAAATTTAACAAGTTTTGGATACTGTATAGAAATTAAAGTCCTTGAGTATATTTAATGGGTTTCTAATGAATAATAATTAATATTCGAAACGACGTATGATGATAGTTGTGCAATTGATATCGTATGTACATACATTGGAAGAATATTTTTCCGGTGCAACCGCGAGGATATCATGTTAGCCAATATGAAACACGCTGTACGTACAGTGGTCAAACGTATAAAGTTACGAAGGACATCTAGAAGTGATGCATCTTTTTAAGTCGAAGTTATTTAAAAAAAACAGCAAACAAAAGAAAACAATTCCTATATAACATTTTTAATTCTTAGCGTTTAAAATACCTCCTGAGATTATGATGTACATAATTATGACGTACGATAATTTTGTCCAATCCAGAGAAAATTATGAACAATCACTAGTAGACTCGTTCCCAAACATCTTGGTTTACACTGTACTGTTCAACGTTATAATTATAATCAAGCCTATTCCATGAAGGTCGCACTGATTACTTTCTTATTTAAGCTCAATTTCTTATTAAGGAGCCGTGGTAGGTCAGTGTCTGGGCGCTCGCCTTTAATTTAATATAATCGAGCAGCCCAAGTTCGAATCCCGGTGCCAGCACCAATGAAATTGTTAATTTTAAGTGCTGACTTGTCACGTGCTCAGCGGTGAAGGGAAACATGTGTCGACCCCACACCGAAAGAAAGATGTTTGCTCTTCATTTTGAGTGGTTTATTTTATTTCATAAGTTTACTTATTGCGTTTACTAAAAAAAATGTAGTTACCTAAAAAACGTTGGAACGAAGTATATAGTGATTATTAAAAAATACGTGATCGGAGATGTGATAAAATTTATGACGCGTTTGCATTTTCAATTTTCATCAGAAATTATTTAAAGCGCGTGACAAATGGCGACCCTTCGGTGGCGTACTTTAACTGTGGGCTCAGTCGTGGTTTCCCTATAAATAAAGACATCGATTAATACCCGGTTCCTATATTCAACGAACGGCCGTTAGTAACATAGCTTCGTAACTTTCATAACGACTTGTAGATTAAAGGAACGCTATTAAGTCAATTCCCGTGGGTAACGCCACGGTTCGTAAGGAAAACCCTTCGTTTTGTTAATACAGGAACCGGGTGTACACGCATTTTATCTACAAGTCGTTATAAAAGTTACAAAGCTATGTAACTAACGTCTGTTCGTTGAATATAGGAACCGGGCATAATAGAACTAATTAAGGAGGTACGTTCACCGAAATTAGTTAAGTTAAATATAACTGTGTCATTCGTCTGCACAAGTGGTAACTGTGGGCATGAGATTTTAAGTTCTCGGTTGCTATCAATTTGGTTCACTCCCAGCAATTTACTGAAGAATATTTGAGGTCACCTTCAGCTGTTGAAAAGGTCTTAAATCACTTAGAAGCATTTGTTTTTCTTTTCCTTATATTGGGTGTTTTCTTTCAATAAAGTTAAGTGGTGGTATTTTAAAATTCAAATTTTACTCGAGCCTCGTTACCAACTTAACTATTGTGAAGTCTCTTACCTATAAATAATTTACGACAAGCCGTTTTCTTCAGTTCCTCTAGCTTTGAGAAGTAATTATTCGTAGCGTCCTGAATCCTGAACAATAGATGCCTACTCAGCAATGCCCTTTGAACTCGGATTAACTTTTGTTATTCTCTTGCTTGGCAGACAATACTATTGGTCTAAATAAGAATGATAAGCTAAACTAACAACTTTTACCATTACTTAGATACTTTAAAAAACTTCATGGTGAATGACGAGGAGTTATCATGATCCTACAAATCAGTTATTTATTTTTTCTTTTCTCCTGTTTTCTTCCTTTTTGTGTAATCGTTACTTCCTTATTTTTACCTATAGTTAAATGAACATTTTATTTATTTATTTATTCAATCGAAAGCGAAACAGATTTCTTTTTTTTTAACGCTATATTTTATTACTCCTCATGGTTCAGGTGGAAGACAGTCTTTGATATCCCACGGGACCTCCATTGTTGGTAGCACAACGTCGAATCCAAAACTTGGGCGCATTCACTTCTTAGAATCACTTTAATAGCTTACTTTCTTGACACATTCTGCTAAGCTTAGACCATAATAAAGTAATTTGAATAAAATATTTGCTATAAGATATAGACTTGTGGTAGAGCAGTCTACGCTATAGCACGAATGGGCAGACCCGCCCTGGGTAGTACCCCGACCTCATAGAAGACCGGCGTGAAGTAAAAATATTATACTTCTGCGTTTCGTCTGGTGAGTGAGGTAGCTGGGGCCCACTTTATTAAAAAGTGCGTGCGACGGTTATTATATTCCATGGGCGGCGGTTATCACTTACCATCAGATGAACCGCCAGCTGGATTACCACCTTCTCACATAAAAAAAATAAAATTTATCCACCTAAATTTCTTTGGCTTACATCATTTATGACTTTATGACCGTATATTCAGTTGCATAGTTTATATGCGATCAGTACCTATTTTAAAACTCCGTATAACATATATATTTCAGCAAGAGGAGTTTTAAAATTTAAAATACGTTCCATGCAATTTTTTGTTTCGCTTTTGGCCGCTTTGGTAAAGGCTTCGCAGAGCTTTGATCTTTTTTCCAGAAAAGTTTCGAACTCGCTTCAATTAAACTCTCCGATTACGCTTTTGATTTTCTGAACTAATTGACCATTAACTAGATATCATAAGTAAAGTGAAGATTTTATGTATAAATAGTTTCTAGATTAATAAAAGAAATCTATTTGCATTAAGTTGTTTATTAAGCAGACTTTATTACATACAGCTGTTTTTTCATGCAAAATCTCTTTTCTTATTAAGTAATATAACCCATTTATTCCGGTTTATCCGGGGCCGGCACACAATACAAATTTACAAATGAAGTACATAATTAATGAACAGAGTTGAATAGATAACGTAAAATAAAAAAATAAAAACCGCCCAAGTGCCAATCGGACTCGCACACAAAGGGTTCCGTACCTATAAAAACGGCATAAAACCATGTCTGTCATATTTTTGTTTATTCTGTTTTCAGACAAACAGACAGACATTTTTCCCTTTCGGTACGGAACCCAACGAGTTAAAGGAAAAAAGGGAATAACAAATTTGTACACGTACATACATAAATATGGGGTTGCGTGATACATGTCTTAAGACCATAGGACTCATTTTTAATAGGATCCCGTTAATATCTTTATCAGTGTCCAGTACACTGCGAGCAAAGTTGAATTAAATTAAGCTTGTGAAAACTGCAGCCTTACACGAACTATGCTGACTAGACTTAATGTGCCAACAAAGACGAAGACGTTTAATTAACACCAAGCAGGTGGTTTGGAGTTAATTAAACGTCCCTCCCGTGGTTATTTTTAATTTGCACTCTAAATCACTCTCAACTCTAAGACTGGCCTCTGTTAGTAAATTAACTTGGAGTGTCCGGCTGCCGATCTGCAATAGCCACGAATGGTTTGAATAACTGACCATTACTTTTATTTTTAATTTTAACAATTTAATATTGTAAAGATGATCTATGTATAAAATTGAATGATTTTACAGAGGTAATACAATTTAATTATAATTCCAATATAATTATAAATTATATTTTCACCCACTGCAGAACATTTGCAAATATTTTGTAATCATGACATACAATGACTAGATGGATATATTTCGCTCGGATAACAAAAACAATGTTTGTGTTATTTGTTTTGGGAAATGATATTTGGTAAGATGTTTTTACACTTTATTGCGATTGTAAACTGAGTGATTTTTAGACCTCAACTGTTTAATCAATTTATCATGTGCTTGAAGACAATGAAAGACAATTCCTTTGCATAAACAATTTGCACATTCTTACGATGTATATACTTCACTAAAAGAGTATAGATTCTAAACTTCATTGATAAATGCATGACTTCGCGTGCCACTGGTTAGTAACCCTTCCCCAGTGTAGATATAACAAATGGATTAAGCATTCATTCAAAACCAACGTGGAACTAGAAGTTTTTACAAGAACCTAATATATTAAAGTAAGCTTTCAATTTTTGTTTCTTGACTTTGAAAGCCTTTATTAATTTTGTGGCGTGTAAGTATTAAATGAAAAAGATACTTATTGATCTGTGAAGTTGTATCAAGGTATACCTTAACAGCAGCATCTCTGAAAGTCGTGAATGCTCTACCCCTAATACTCTTTATTCAGATCTACAGAAATTACAGATACAGTCACAAATTACAGGTTATTTCATTGCAAAAATTTCGAAAACACCAGGATCAAATCAAAATACCGGAAGTATCGGTTACCAAATGGTCCTTTTAGCCGGATACGAAACAACGACACTTAGATTGAGAAGGGATCTGATTGAAAAATGAGTTGATAACATCTCGCACGTGTTATATTGTTCAATCACAACAACGGTGGCACCGCCAGCTGTATTTGAAATGCAAATTGTCAGCATATTACAAAAGCGTTTAAAGACCTACTGTGTCCCTAGTGCTAGTCGCAATGACATTGTTCGAAGGCTGACGTAAGGAAACGGACACACGTCTGTTGGCGATTACATATTCATATCCGACCCGTGTCATTTCATGGTTCTGATGTACGTCACTGAATGCTT